AACCAGCAGCAGTTCCGGTGTATTTATGTTTCCGAGCTGAAAAAGAAGGAAGACCAAGACGGCCAGCGGCACATCCATCGCTAGAGGCGTTGATGCTCTTCTGTTTCTGGTGCTTACAAAATGAAGACTCTGCGATTTGGACCATGTCATTTTTTAGAGATTGGTGAGATCATTCCATTTTTATTTAATGCGTTTATTTTTCCAGCCTCATTTGCCGTAGCTTAACGGAGTCGATATTCATCATTTGGGTTACAAAATTACTTAAAACTAACGTTAGTAGAGCGGGTGCCGATTTGAGATCATTCCATATTTTATATTATTTTGCAAACAATTTCAAGTTATATATGACAACAAGTTGTGTGTTGGGCTGAGTTGCGACCTATCACAACCACGATCGTCAAATAGCTGATGGTAGTAATGCTTGGCCCAAATTAATGGCATTTAGGCCGTCATAACATCCATTTCCCCTATGACAACAAGTTGTGTGTTGGGTTCTAGACATTGTTGGTGTTCATGAAAATCGATCGACTTGATTTTTTCCTTATTACCACTGTTAAAGTCTAGTCAGCTGACGTGAAGACACAAACTCTCACACACAGATATCCAGTTATGGGGAAATTCACGGTTCCGAAAAAATGATTACGTTTTCATTTTAATGAAAGCATTGGGAATCCAAAGACATCACATTTTTTCTGATTTTTTAAGGAGAGTTCATGTGCAGAGACATTTTTGGTAAGTCATCATGGTATATGGTTTGACTCATAAAACCACAAAACAGTGACCTTTCGGTTTTGCTGCTAGTGTCAAATTTTTTAATGATGATACGGAAAACATGTTTTTTGGAAGTAACTGGCTGTCTTGGATTTTTGTGGTTTTTTTTTCCAGTATTTTTAGAAAAGTAAAATAGCGTCGAAAAAGAAATTTTTATTTTCGGTTCGGTGAATTTTCTATTAAAAATGCCCACAAAACTAGCTTCTTTCCCCTTTTTTCATTTCCTTCCTCTCTTTTCAGAAAGCGAGTAATGGGGCAATAACCATAAGCCATATAGGACAATAGTTGGTGCTCATTTCCGGACCACGTATCATTTTTAGACTAGATGCTCCCAACGACCAATCATTAATAAATGACAATACAACGGAACGTACGGTACGAGATGTCCACGTTTCATCCATTTATTGAATTTTGAAGCTTTGGCCCGATGTTTCTGAATCATCTTTCCCTTTAAATGCTGCACAGTAGGCCTGGCCGTTTTGATATATTATGCGCATCTCTGATGTGCAACATATATCAAATAGACAAGGAGGTATATTTATCGTTTTCCAAGATGCTTTCATGAACTGGCTGTGTTGGTGTTAGATTAGATTATAAGATTAGATATTGCGAATATATAGTTGATCCGTCCATGCCACCAGGCACATAGAAGAACTAGTTTTGTAGAATATAGATCGTTGCAATCGTTCCACTGTATTTTCCATAAGCGCATAGAGTTTCACCCTTATTTTCGATGCTCCTTGTCCGATGCATTCACTAGGAGGAGCACATATTTTTTTCACAGCTCCAATCACATCGTAAAGGGGCATCTTGAAGAAATTTCTCTATGCATTACTTCATATTGAATTCTACTTAACCCAGCAACGATAAGTACAATAAAAGCTTCTTCTGCTGACATCATTCCCCGTTGATCAGTTAGTTGAGCCCGTTTTATTTTAGGCCTAGTTTGATTTTGAAATTTATTCCCAATAACTTTGACTAAATTCAGATCCTTCCGATTATATGCAGTCCATTTTGTTATTGTAAAGCTTTTTCGATGGTGTCAACTTTAGGATCCACTGATTCATTACCTATGATACGACGTTTTCTTCTTTCGCTCAGGTCCGAGAAAGGTTTTGAAGGTCGTCCACGTTTTGTTCCACCGGCAGAAGTTGAGGCAAAACAATGCTCCTGTTCAATAAATTCCTCGATGCCAAATTCTCCATTTAGCCACTTTTGAACATACGACTCAAATCGTTTTTTCGTGCACAGCAAAAAAAAATCTAAATTTTAATTGTGATGCAAAACTTTCACTCTCGTAAATTTCTATTTATTTTCACACAAACGAGCAACTTGTAAGCAATGTTGCTTACAAAGATGAGCTTTTGTATACAATATTTTCAACATTTCATTAAATGTCTCAGAACTATATATTAATTATAATGTAAACTTATATGCTATGTGAAGCTCCATTTATGTGCATGTAGTGTGGTGTAGTTCAAAAATATTTTAAGTTCTGGCCGAAAATTCCAGTGACCGAAAATTTTCAATTCGCTTTATTTTTCAATGGGGCAAGTTGGGGCTGGTAATTCCTTGAGAGCTTGTTAGGGAACACTCCAAACTTGAACCAGAGCTAAAAATAAGCCTGAGAATATGCGAGAATCGAAAGTTTATGGCAAACCAAGCTAAAATTTTGTTATTCAAACAAATATGTTCATATATAGGTATAATTTTAAAATATTTTTTATAAGTCAAATTTCACAATTGTTTTCATTTTCGAATAGATTTTAAAATAATCTTTCTTATGATGTATAATAATATGGTAGTTATTTTCTTTTTTTTACCTTTGATTTGTTTTCCGTCGACCACCATGCTACCGACACCAGGGAGGCAGCTCCCACACCTGGACCCTATCTATCGACCCATCAACTCATGAACCGGGGACCAACGGTTTTACTTCCCATCCGAAGGAAGGCGTGATCAGAGATGTTATGCCTCAGAACATCCCGGCAGTGCCGACTGGGATTGAACCCAGGCCTGCTGGGGTGAAAGGTAATCACGCTTACCACTACACCACCGGCGCCGCTATTTATTTTCTAAATATTTGTTAAAAATTTAATTGAACGGCAGTGTGATTTTACGGCAAAAATTGCACTTTCTTTAATATTTTTTTTTTTTTTGACATCCGTTATATCAGAAACTACAAGGTTTGAAGCTTTGAGGTTCTCTTAGTTGAAGTGTGTACTATCGGCAAAAAATACGGGAAAAGAATTGGGGAAAGTCGATTTTTCGATTTCCTTCCACCTGCCTGGTCTAAAAAGTTGGCTGGATTAAATCACGCATTAGTATGAATAAAACATAAATTGCTTTACTTTTTTGCCCCCTGATTTTTTGAGTCGAGACAAAAACTTTAAAATAACTTTGCAATCAGCATTAAACAATTAGAAATCATCACTGATGCCATCGGTTGACAATTTGTCATCACACACATATCCGATGACTAATTGAGGTGCAATCGATTTGCATTATTTACAATATTCTAACCCTTTAACCGGTTGGCATTTCAAAAAGTTCAACTGGCATTTTTCCCCCTCACTATCTTCGAACGCACATGCTCTTACCGCCAGCTGCATTCCACGAACGCACATCTCCGAAGTGCACTTTCCTGCTTTAGCAGTTGGTACCTATGTACCAACCTAACGAGTGCACACACGGATGAAATCGAAAGCGAATGCTGCAACGAATGGCACGGCACACGCATCAATGGAAAACGGTGGAGAATAGCCTGGTAGGTATCTGGTTTTCTTCCGTCCATGATGAGAGGTGTTATATGGTGATATTTATAATGCACCCGTTGCGATGTTGATATCGTCAAGAAAGTTGCAACGAAACGTGTCTATCAACTTTGGTATGATTGCCAAGGACAAACAGGGAAATGATGGTGTAAGATGGATTGGTGATAAACTGTTTGAAATGTTTGTTTGGATTCTGTTCGAATATTGTAAGGGATTTTTTTGAATTTTGAACGCTCAGTAAAAGACCACGTGATGAATCGCGCACGCTCATCTGCATTTAGCACCAATCAACTAAATACTCCATTTTAGTACAGTTTTCGAATCTGAAAGCTCTGCCCGTTGCAGTCAAATAGGCAGTAAATCATCGCAGCTACTAGCACACTATCATAGTGAACACATCACTGTTAGTGTTGGCACCTTGTTGGCTATTTCTGTATGGGTCAGTCTGATGCAGCGATACAACAGTCTATAATGCACCACTGGGGTAAAATGGCCCCACGTAGTTAATCTTTGCTTTCCTAATACTAATTCTGGGGTTTTATGTGCTATAATGTTAGTTCAAGTACTGAACTAGCAATGCTACTCGTTAAATCACGAATCGACAATCGGTAATCTATGCAAAACAGCACGGGGCACGTTTACCCCAGAGATGCGTTGTAGACCATCCTACCCTACCTTCCAAACAAATTGTACAACAACAGCGACGACAACGTGGTAGTCAAACAAAATCTTGCAATCGAGTGATGCATCGGAAGATAACGATCCAGGGTGCCACAGAAAAATTACCGGCAATTAATGTTTTCATCACTTTCCACCTGTTGACTGGTCGGTGAGTGGTGTGGGCCCTGCGCTGGAAATGGAGATTTTATCCACTGGCCGATGAGAGACTTTACTTGACATCATTAGACTGGCGTTGAAAAATAACTAAAACTTTTCAAAACAATTCGATAAAATGCATTCGTAATGAGTTTTGAATATCACAAAGATTCAAAACATCAAAATCAACTGACCTCCAGTTTCCTACGCAGTGACCTGTGACCCAGCAGGAGGGCACCCCATAAACCCAAACAACAGTCACTACCGGCGGCGGCGGCGGCAGTGGTGCTGGTGGGCGCTAAATCACCTGCACTAAGTAGGGCCCATTCAATGATGTGATGTATGGAAAATAGTCTTGAAGTGGTTACATTTGTATATTATATTACCTGATGGATGGGAATTGTTGTCTGCACCAACCGCGCTGTGCTGCAGTGGTTGGCGAGTCTGGGTCTGGGTCTGGGAGAACGGGTTGTACTCTTCTCGCGAGAATGAAAAAAAAACCGCAGGTCGCGTGGCTGTGCTTTCGATCGGAAGCACGATGGCGGTGCCGGGAGGTCGCGGGAGCGGTGGAGTTAAATCAAACGTCTATAAATACAGTAGGTAAAGTTCTATTCTCTCATTAGATTTCACTATCAGCTGGTATTGGGAAGAGTGCTACCTGAGGTGTCTCATCCGGTGATAAGTGTACAGTGCAAGCCGAGTGTTTTTTTAGAAGAAGCGAAAACTAAAAAATTTAACATCAAAATGAAAATCGTAAGTAATTGTTGGAAGGAGCGTGATATTCTTACATGCATGCTGCAGAGCTTAACCTTATTGATTGTTTTTAATACTTTGATAAATTGCCTACAGAGTGACAAGTAAATGGAGTACAAGTTTGAAGAGATTATTTCATTTCCATTCAGTGGAAAGAATAATTAATGTGTTAACACGATTTGTGCTGACTAGAATTTCCCAAACTAGAAGGCTATTAGCTTTTTAGTGGTGAAACAGTGATCAAACAGAATCGAACTACTCATCGTACAGTTAAAAGCCTGTTCTTAGTTGACAACTGTTGAAGTAATCGATGAACTACATCAAGTTTAGAATAGGTGTAAAGATCCAGTTACACAGTAGTCCAGGAATGCAATCTAGTCGAACAAAATTAATAACTCCAAAACGAGTAATTTGAGAGATTTTGAGTCTGCCTCATTGTTTTTTTTTTTTTTTTTTTTTTTTGAATAAAATGTGCCATCTTCTGATCAAAAAATAAATGTACTAAACTTGTAATCAAATGCTATTTGACCCTCTCCGATTTGAACCAAACTTGGTGGAACGACTTATTTTAGGCCAACAATCAAAAATCCAACGTTTTGTACCCATCGACTCACCCCCCGGTTCTGGAGACTGCCCCCACTTTTTTTCCGATCTTCAAGAAACACCATTTTTCTTTTGAACATATCTCTGGACCAAATTATGCTACAGACAGGATTGGGCACTAATTTTAAAGGATTTTTAACGTGCAATCAAATGGTCTACTCAGAATATTTATGCAGTGTTGTCAACTTGTCGATTTTTGAAATTTAAAACTTAAAATGCAAATATCTCAAAATACTCCCACTTTTTTTCCAATTTTGATAGCACCAAAATGTTCGGCAGACATTTTTACATAAGAATCACCTAACCACCAAAAACAACTTTTTTCGTTTGGGAGATATGGATTTTTAAAGATTTAATGTTTTTAAAAAGTTCCATTACTGTACAACCCTTCAATATGAAACGTTGGACAATCCTGAAAGTTGATAGAAACGATGAAACCTGTAAGTTAGATGAGGATCTAATACTTCTTTCATTTTATATTTGATTGTATCAGATAATATTAAACCAGATTTGTTTCGACAGTGTTGCCAGAGTTGCAAACTTAAATTTAGATTGATAATTTTTCTTATTTCCAACACTTTATTTTTTTGCGTTCGGAAATGTATTTCGTATTACATGGTATTTTAGACAGATCCATTCGTTTTGTGATTATTTATTTACTGATTATGTTAAATAAGCTTTTGAAATATTCAAAACTAATTTGATTCTAAATTAAAGCAGCCGTGTTTCTATCCTACTTTTTGCTATCATTTATTGAACAAATATCATTTAATACATTGAGTAGCATGAGTAATTACTTTTTCCGTTTTGCCTTAGATTTGGGTAGTGAATTTGAACGCTTTTTTGAAATTACTTTGAAACATGAACCCGTTTCTGAACAAGAAATCGTTTTCATAAGAACAGTCGAACAAAATTAATAACTCCAAAACGAGTAATTTGAGAGATTTTGAGTCTGGCGCAATGTTTTTTTTTTTTTTTTTTGAATGAAATGTGCCATCTTTTAATCAAACAATAAATGTACTAAACTTGTAATAAAATGCTCTTGAAATTGTGATGAAATTGTGTTTACACCACTGAGTGTGAAAGCGAATGACAAGCTACGTGCACTGCTTCCATCTCTTCTGTTTGTATTTAATTCAATCGTGCCAAAAATTGTCGTTTAAGTTTTATTTACTCACGTTCTAATATGTATTCACCATTAAGTTAATGAGTCAAACTTTGCAATGGCTTGTTTTAATAAACTTAAATTAATTACTAGAGGAAAAACAAACAAAAACACTTGTTCAACTTTTGCGTTTGCTAGCAAAGCAGTTAAGTTGAAGTGGGTTTCTTGGTGTTCAATTTTGTTCAACAAGAGATTCAGAAAGTAGTTTTTAAAACTTTAGTGTATTCGATTGCATGTAATTGTGCTATGCTACGAAAAGCACAAATAAGCAAATACAGTGAATATATTTTACCCAGAACATTTTTGGTCTAAAATCATCCATTGCTTGTTTTAATTTAACATATTAATAATGTGCGAATGTTTTTGTACTCTAATGACGATGATTGAAGAATATTTCAAAAATAAGAATAAATCAAGATTGATCGTTTGTAGAACCTTGAATATATTTTAACATAGAAATAGTAGTTTTTATATTTGTTTTAAGCGAATTTTTAAATTTGATATATCTTTCAAAAATCCAAACTACGGAATCGCACAATCGACCTCCCTTAGCTCAGTCGGTAAAGGCACAGCTACAAACCAAGACCAGGTGGCTGGGTTCGATTCCCGGTCCGGTCTAGGAATTTTTCGGGTTGGAAAATTTCTCGACTTCCCTGGGCATAGAGTATGATTGTACTTGTCACACAATTATACCAATGCAAAAATGGTACAGGCGTCGAAAGCTCTCAATTAATAACTGTGGAAGTATATTTAGAACACTAAGTTGAGAGCACGCAATAAGCAAATATACCATACGCAATAAGCTTGAAATGCGTGGACGAAGAAGAAAGAATCGCACAAAATCTCTCACCAGAATTTACAGTTTCAATGGCATTTTATATTGGATGTATGTAAAGCATGGCCCACTTAGCAATGGAATTATTTGGGTCTATTTCGGATTTGAATTAGCGGATTTGAAAACGGTTTTCACTCATATGCATACTATTCCTTATATTTTAAAACGAAATTATTCGTCGCAGTTTTCAAGGAATTCTCGAACTTTTCCCTTAATACGACCCATCAAGCGGCGCACAACGGGGTCGTTCATTGTTTTGGGCGATTTCATCCGACCAATTTTTCATCTGAGATGCCGTTTTGATGACTGTACCTTTTACGCCAGACAACCAGAAGTCGTATACCAGCGTGCAAAAAGAATGAGATGCGTCGTAAAATGTTTAGGTTAAGTCGCAAAGAATGCAAATTTTCAAACTATTGGCGATGATTCTTTTTTGTATCGTACCGTATCACAAATAAGCTCGGATGAAGGTTTTTGAAACTGAAATTGTTATTACAGATTAGATCGTCAATTATGTTTAATCAAATTGATGAAAATTAATGTCAATTAACTCGTATATCGCTTCCCCAAAAAATCAAAGATAGCATAATAATGTGCACCCTAGATCGTATTTGAATATGCTTCAAGATAAGATCAATAAGGCTTTAAGAGCATTCCATCTTGTTGCAATTCAAGTTGAAATTAACACACAACTAATACGATCAAAATCAAAAAAATCGTAAATGGTTCCACCGCACTATTGCGTGTCATCAAATTATGCGACTATTTGTAAAATAAAAGATCTGGTTGCCATAGGTTGTGGAGGAAGGTGCCGTGAAATCTAAACCAACTCAAGATCCAATCGTCAACATAATCTGATGCCTTTCATCAAAATCGAAATCTTTCCAAGTACAAGTAGGCTTTTTGAAGCGTATAATTTATCATTGATATAATCATCTGTTCTTACAAGTCCTTATATGGTTTAGTGAATTTAGTTCTGGTTTCTGGATACAAAGCTAGAGGTATGGAGACTAGCTGCAGGAATAGCTTTTTTGTTTTATTTATATGGATGATCGTATTTCTGTTGTATTGAAATCGGCAAAATCGTTATTGGAAAGCCTCCACTTTGGAACGTATATAGCAAATCTGCGCATCTTATACGATTTGTTTGGTTAGTACATATATCACTGTGTATATCCGGAACTATACGGACCAAAATGTTGACTGAGAGCTTCAGTTTACTCTTGATTTCAGTAGTTTTCCATGGGCCTGAACTGGGGACAATTGGGTGGTTTGAGGGTTTCCGGAACAAACTGGACTCCGTTGTCATTGTGACATTGTTGTACTTACCGGATGTAGTTACAACTCGCAAGATTCGGCCAAAATTTCATGTGACTGCATGAAGGGCAGAATTCCCTTCTGGAGATATTCGGTTTTGTAAACCACCGAGTTCATCATTTTCTTAGTAACGAAAAGCTTTGTCTTCTGACTGCAGCTGCAAATTCCCTGCCAGATCATATATTTACGTGCGAATTTATACGCAAAAACAAATTTGAATCTGCTAGGGACATCTCCTCAAGCATTCGCCTTGTAAAATTTGGGTCCTGCATGCTGTCCGAAGTCGGCCTTTACAAAGGTATGCACTCACTGGACTTGGTCAGCAGGTTGTCATATAGCTTTCAAGCACGGGCTCTAGCTTCTAGGGTTCTAGTATTCTGCTTGAGTGATCGATTTGGTTGCCTACTGGCACGGTATGTCTATAAGCCATCGCGATAGCAAATTAGCTGCACTTAGGGTTACCATATAGTATCCAAAAGGAGGACATGTCCTACTTTTTCAATATTTTTCTATACCCTCCTTTTGCCCTAAAATGTCCTTCTTTATAGTCCTTGCATTTTTTCCAATAACAAATTTATAAAATTGTTTTCAAAGAGCGTTGTGTGTAGGACACTTTTGTTTAATTATGTCGCAACCTCATCTTATCTAGCAAATGCCATTTGATAGTGGGACCAGCAGTATACTACAGCTGCCAACAGCCCTACATTTAGGCTGCGGCATAATTGGTGAATTTTCACTTAAATTTGACAGATGGAAAATTTTAAAATATACCTCCCAGTCTACCAAACTTATTTCTGACAGACCAGGAATCAATTTTGACAAACCATTCCTCGAAAATCGGACGATCAACAACATAGGGATTTTCAGAAATTATAAATTATTTTTGAAGAGTCAAATTTAAGTGAAAATTCACCAAATGGAATTTATATATATACCTAATTATGATCTTTCGAAAATATCTTATACTAATTGATCGGTCAATTGTTGAGAAGATGTTTGTCAATATGAATTGCTTGTCGGTCAGAAAAAAAAGTCTGGGTTATTTGAAAATTTACCCATCTTTCAAATGTAAGTGAAAATTCAGCAATGGAACACAGCCAAATTGAATCCAGCAAGTGTTCGATTTCGACGTTCTATTCTGATTCTATGCGAATTTGAGTTTTGGTTAAGAATCCTATGCTGAATCAATGGTAAAATTAACAATTAGCTTAGATGTTCCATTTTCATGCTGGTTTCAATCAGCGATGCTATGTATCCTGATTTTTGTACATGATAAAAGTTGGGATGGTTTTAAGACTGTAAAGCTGTAGTTTTCATGCAAAACAGCTAGACTAGATCGTTTCCAAGTAACAACAAGTTTGTTGCATATTTCAGAAGTATAACGAGAAGATGAATTGAATAACGACTTCAAGTTATGAACAATCTCAATTGAATCTTTGAAAATCATGAATTTTGCTATAGCGCACATATTATTAAAACGTTTGATAAAAACTCATTGTTCTCCATTATTGTTAAGAAAAGCAAACATTGTCCTCCTTTATCTCCAAACCTCAAATTAAATGTCGTCATTTTCAAGTTGTTGATATGGTAACTCTAGCTGCACTGTACTACGAGTGGCCAGGTATGGAAAATCATTTACATTCATTTCATGCATTCATTTACATTCATTTGCCTCTAACTTTTTTCATGAACAGCTTTCCGCAAAATGATGTATAGAACTTTAGTAGGTTTTGTTATTAGCTACAACTTTTGTCCATAACTCAAATCTGTATCTCTTATGCATCACAAATTAGAGCGGGCAGAACTCATTACTGTTTTTCAGTGAATGTAAAATACATTCACTGGAAAACAGTAGTGGATTCTGTTTGCTCTGGTTCGTCATGCATAAGAGATACGGATTTGAGTTGTTAACAAAAGCTGTAGTTAATAACAAAACCTACAAAAGTTTTATACATCAATTTGCGAAATTCTATTGATGAAAAAAGCTAGGGGCAAATGAATGTAAATGAATGCACGACATGAATGCAAATGATTTTCCATGCCTGCGAGTGGCATCATACTTTTGATTGGACATACCAGGGTTGAATCGGATAGACCTTACGACCTTTCCATGGAGCTGACAGTTCCACTCCGGCGTGTACTTTTAGGCTTCCGATTAGTCGTCACGGTTTCCCTGTATGTTTGGAACACGCGCCATACGGTGTTTCTAGGAAAATTCAACACTTTATCCAACTTGGGCGTTAACCACGATGAATTTCCCAAGTGACTGTGCGCGATTTTTTACGCTCCCCTGGTGACCGTCTCCAAAACAAGAGTGTTTTATGAACTGAAAAAATACACTGTTATTTTTATTATTGCTGTCAACAAATAGACGTCAAAAGCTTCCGAAAACGTCCACTAGGAGTGATGTAATAAGCAAAAGAGTTTCTTCCATTTCTAAGTGGGCCATGGTTTATAAGCTTTATAAGTAATATATTATTGAAATTTTAAACTGATATATTACAAATTATTACACTGAAAAGAATTCACAAGTTACCTTTATGTGTTCCACACTTCAATTTGCGCAAATTGCGAAACACATCCATTTCATGTGTGAATCCTATAATAAAAATTATTCCCGAACACTATAAGTTCAGACACTTAATCATCAAATGTCCTTCATTCAGAAGTATATTCTCGAACATATCTGGCTCGTGTATCTTACTTTTGATAATGGATCAAAACTTATCCCAGCAATATTGCATTTCATTTAATGATTATTTTTTCATTATTAATTCATAAAAGATAAGGAAAAAACCAAATATATTATATTAACAATATGATCCACCCTTTCGCTTAGCTGGCGAACCAAATTTTTACCGATGAAATCACCTCTGTGGCCAACCAATGTATTTTTTTATCGTCACGAGGGGTAAACCAAATGAAAATTTGTTTAATATTTCAAATGAATGTATTTCAGCATATTATTTTATTTGATGACAACAGTGACATGTCTGACAAATTTTAAAGTAATATACACAATGTAATTAATGAAAATAATGTGACTCTTACTTTTGTAATAAGTGCTATATTCGCACCCCTCGATTGTAATTGAATGATTGTTGCTGACCTTTTTCAACGCTAGATGGTGTGTGCAGCAATATTTTGCGGGTCGCCATTGCAATATTTGGAAAAGGCATGAATGGATCATATTGTTAATATGATATATTAGAAAAAAAAAACACTGCAGCTCTCTCCAGCCGCGTCACTACACCAGGACCTAGGATCCCAAGGATACTGTGAAAGACAGTTATGGAGATATAAAGTTTTCAGCTTTTGATGCTATTCTTAGTCATTAAATAGGATTTACTTACCATTCCTGATCAGATGATCCAGCCAAGGACTGGAAATCTCTCGAAAGAAGCCACAAATAAAGTTTTCTTTCAGATAGAACTGACCAACTACTTCACACCGACTGACAAATTGATTGCTTCTGGCGAAAAAGATTTTGTCAGTAATTTAAAGCGTAAATTGATATTGTGGGGACCTGTAATCTCTCGTAAGGGTCATAACTGTAGCAGCAACATACATTAGCATTGATTGTTACTTTGTTTAATACTTCTTTCGACACTCTTCCTGCTACTGATGAGATCCATCCCATGAATTTCAACAAGTAAACACACGAAATTATGATGTGGTTTGTTTTAATTTCACCGACAACTGGAACATTCGATTTTTGAACATTGATCCCATGAAATTGGAATGAAATTCGAATGAAATTCACATGATATCATGGTGACTGGCAATAGGAAAAATTCATATTTGAAAACACATGAATGGGACGTGTGGATTTGTTTGAGTGTATATCATGCATCGTAAACAGAGGTGTTTAAACATACCAATTTCACCCAAAATTTTGAAAACATGGGCAGTAGCCATTTTGAGAATTATTGTTTGTTGGCTGAATCGGGAAACGGGGAATTGCACGCATTTTTACAAGGAAATATGAAAAAATAGAAATAGGTTAACTACCCCATTTCCGGCCTATTAAACACAACCCGCACTTCGTCTTTCTTATTCTAGCGCAGTTTAGCACCAAACATAATGTTATTATTACTGATGGCTTCCAAATGTATTTATCTTTCCGTACGTACCGTAAAATTTGATAAAGAGAAACCAATCGTTGAGATATTGCGAAAGTCTAACACTGCTTCTTGACGCCAAACTCGGCCTACGGATTCTAAACTCGGCCTAACGCATTGAAACGCCATTGAAACGCCAATCAATTCACTTCGGCCTATCGGATGAATATAAAAATTAATTCGGTCGGATAACTTCTTTTGTTTTTGGGAATTATGGGTGCAAACCTTTGGTTGCATCGCCAACTTGAGGTCAACCTCTGAAACTATTAGCATATCAAGCGAAACGTAGTCGTGTTCTATCGCAAAGTGTTATGGTTATGAGATGCTCGATGACCCTGGAGGGATCGTTTTTGCTTACTGAGCAAAAAATCATGGGTTTAATCCCAAGCTCTTCGTCATAACTCTTAAAATTCATGATCACTAAACAAAATGAATATATGTTCTTTCGATAGCCGGCTATCGAGAGATTAAATAAACAACAAATAAACAATACATACTTTTGGTTGCATCGCCAACTTGAGGTGAATCCTAACCGAATACCCTACCCAACCTTCCAACTCCGTAGCACTTATGAGGGTGTAGTCTAACTGAGAATTTCAGAAGAGACGTGAGTGTCGCTAGTATCCAAGCTACGAAGTATATCATAACAACGCTAACGCTATTAAGGGTCCAAACCTTCATACCTAGCGTTCTCATTGACTTCATTGGGTAGCTTATAAACTAAATTATCGTACCAAACGCCTAATTGACTTGTTAACTCTGAAATCATGGATTTATTTGAATTTTTCTGCTCGATAGGCCCAAAATCGTCGATTAGGCTGAAGTAGTTCTCTACCTTACTGTTTATAAGAAGGATTATATCATATTTTGAAAAAAAAAAAATGGCTTTGGTTCAGAATCCTGCTTTGGTGTATTTTATCAATTGTTAGTTCTTACCTAAAGTTCCGAAGGTTAAAAAGCCATCCAAATTACCACAGAGCCGCATTTTCGTCTTCGATAGCCTACTTACCCATAACTCCCATCTCCGCCCCTTCCAGGAAGTACTTCTACTGACAGTATGTCTAGCCGCAGCTCTGGCAGCACCCCAACGATCCGATGCCGAGGCCGAAATCGTCTCGCAAGATAGCAACATCGATCCGGACGGCTCGTATCAGTACAGGTACGACTATTTAAATACTACTTACTACTCACTACTGCACAGCAAAGCGCCACTTGGTCACGGGTCTGGGTCAATAAGCCATCACCGGCGGTGCTGCAGCTAATCATTATGCAAATTAAAAACCAACCATTATATTTTACCCACTTAGTATACTTAGCATAATCGTTATCGTCTTCACTCATTTCACATATAGTAAACACCTCCCCCCCTTTGATCTCATCTCGGGAAACCACTCAATTATCTATTGTTTTTAAATTGAAGCGTGTCGGTTACCCAAGTGCGTAATTATTCAATTTTATCCGACAAAACAAAATATGAAATAATTGTATGTTCCTCATATGGTCGAACGGATGGTTAATTAGAAAATCAAACCTTGTTTCAGCTACGAAACGGCCAACGGAATTCGTGGTCAGGAACAGGGAACTCTCAAGCGTGCCAGCAGCCCCGACACGAGCGATGTCATCGTAGCGCAAGGTTCGGTCACGTACACGGCTCCCGATGGGCAGGTCATTACGTTGAACTACGCAGCCGACGACGAGAATGGATTCCAACCGCAGGGCGAACATCTGCCCACTCCACCACCAATTCCACCGCAGATCCAGAAGGCTTTGGACTACCTGGCCAGTCTACCACCGGCAAACCGAAGGCGTTAAGACGAAAGCACTACTCGCCCGGATTGACTGACGGATGATGATATGTGTGTGAGCGTGATGCCCATTTCACCACCTGAGAGCAAGACATGACCAATACTCAGTTTTAAGATATTTGTTTTATTATTTGTTTTTCGTTTTATTCTGATTGATGAAGTAGAACCTTTTTGTTGCGGTTAAGATTTATGTAAATTTGCATTTAAGGCATGAAAGAAGCGAGAGTAAAGCTTGGTAGAAAATGATATTTCGTGTTCAAGTGCTTTAACCATCTATCGATTGTCTAATTATGCAGGAGAAAATGACAGTACTACTATGCTACCAATGTGCAAAGGCGTTAATAAAATCGCTTGTTGAAAATCATCCGTGGTGCTATTGGATTGAATTTTTGAAAGATAATCACTTTTATCCCGAATTACCTCTGAAGAACATTTACTAGTCACCAATATTTAATCAGAACCGTTTGCAGATTACAAATGGTTTAAAGACAGATATCGTGGTCCGTCGATTGCGTCAAAGAAGGAAGACGCCAATAGCCAAAACCACGATCAAGTAAGTGGCTGAATCGCAGTGGAAACGCCATTCCACGTGCCCCACCATCGAGTCCAACTACCAGCAATCAGCCATTGCTAAAATTCAAACCAAGCCAAATAGTCATAGTCAAGATCACCGAACCGCCATCGCGGTCATCACCATCCGCGAGTGCTCGCCGTCCAACACCCCGGTACGTACCAGAACAAGTGACCATTCCAGCACACCAATTGCCCAAACAAAACAACACAGTAATTTGAATAAATTTCCTTCCTAATCAAACACTATCTAAATTCTTGAATATCCCGAATCTAAACAATTCCATAGTTTCCGCACAACTTGTGCCGCGTGCCCCTTCGAATTACTCGGTAGCAGGGGAGTAACAAGAACTAGCGTTGAGCCGAATGATCATACCGAAATATAGCAGTAGCACATCCCAAGATGAGCAGCAAGGACAGCAGCTTAAGAGAACCAGAACGATGGAGGTAAAAAGGAAGATCGACGAGCTCTATGACAGTGGTTCCCAACTTCTCCAGATCCACGACCCCCTTTACGAAAAATTTAGAGTCCCGTGGCCCCCTGGAATGTACGATGGATAAATTGTGCTGAGATGAGAAAAAAAACATTAATTTGGTTTGCTATCTAATGGATTTATTTCATCTTATGTTAACAACAGGCAAAAACTAATTCAGTGTGATTGTTGCGCTTGGATTTGAGATACTAGTTTAGGAATACGGGGCTGCGTTTGAGACAACGCCAATCTCATAACGTCCTCAACGTTCAGTCTGTTCCTCGACTTTGTCTTGATCTGGAGGAGGGTATGGCTCGTACATGGCACACCAGAACTGGTTCAAATCCTTTTCATGGAACAAATCACGAGAAGAGGAATCATTTCTCAGATCTAAGTGTTCGTCCTGTATCTCATCAGGAAGACTAGCCACATCCAATGAAGAAGAAAACGGGTTGCGGACCAAAGCAGCGTCTTCTTTTGTCAGCTCGGGGAAATACTTCTCAAATTGCTTATCCAGTGAATCAAGGTGGACAATTATTTCTAATTTAACATCCGAATTCAGCTCGTCCACTCCTTTGTCAGTCATACTGCACAGTCTATCGAACATGGCAACATTTCCAATATTAACCTTTCGGCGCCAGTTTTTGATTTTTGTCATGAATGCTTGAAGATGGTCTTGGAAGTGAACAAGATTGATTTGTTTGCCCTGTAGCTTCAAGTTCAGCGAATTTAGATGCTCGAAAATATCTGCTAGGTAAGCGAGGCGCTTCTGCCAGCTTTCCTCATTAAAATTAGTAAGGAAATCGTTTTTCCCTTGAGCTTTCAAGAACATTTGGATTTCGTTCTTCAATTCGAAAACACGGTTGAGTACATTGCCTTTCGACAACCAGCGCACGGAAGTGTAGAAAAGAAGAACCTCATGATCTGAGTTCATTTCTTTTCAGAGTTTTTTTTTTAAATAAACGGGTATTCAGAGCTCCAGATTTAATATAATTAACCATTTTTATGACTGAATCCAGTACTTTCAACAACGGTTCCGGCAGAGTCTTACTGGCAAGGACATATCGATGAAACACGCAATGAACAGTAGTGGCGTGTGGAGCAAGCTCTTTAACCTTTTTCTGAAACCCTGATTTGCTACCAAGCATTGCTGGAGCGCCATCGGTACAAACTCCACCGACTTTTTTCCACTGTAAGCCACCAAAATTCAAAAAATGTTTTGATTTTGGCCATGATATCATCACTTTTGGTAGTAGTTTCCACATCACTTCAGAAAAGAAACTCTTCCTTTAAATCGCCAGAGTAAACGTACTTCACAAATACCAACAGTTGCGCACAGGAGTTGACATCCGTAGATTCGTCGAGTTGGATTCCAAATAGAGGGGATTGCTTGATTTCTTCCAAAATTTGCACTTTAACATCTTCGGACATATGGGTAATTCGTCTTTGCACGGTGTTGTTTGACAACGAGACTTGCCGCATTTTACTTTCACTTGCTTCCCCAAGAACCGAATTCACCATTTTCAGCATGCTGGGCTTGATGAGAGTTTCTCCGATTGTACGGGGTTTTTTTGTTTTTCGCGATTTCCAATGCTGCTTCATATGACGCCTGCACTACTGCGATGTTCTGTTGTTGGATGCTGCCTGTAGCATCGAATCTTTGCCGTTTAAGGCCTGCTTCATGGCGTCGGAAAAATGCCACATCCTTTGTGCTATGCTCAGAATGTTTCGTGTCCAAATTCCGTTTCAATTTTGACGGCTTCATAGCTTCAACACTCAACACAACGCAGCACAATACACATTGTGGCTTATCGACGCCATTACCGATTAAAGCCGTGAATCCGTATTGTATATATTCATCGGAATACTTTCGTTTCTTGTCCATGTCTGCGGTGGTCTGCAATTAACAATTTAATGTTAGTTCTTTCATGTTACTATTTTCTATATTGACTTTACCGATTCAAATTGATAGTATTTGCAGGGATACTCACTCGTGGCAATCCTCTGAGGAAAAACAAGATCCGAGCAGCAACAATTTTTGATCTGAGAATCACAAATTGTGCAATCGATTGAAATGGAACTTGACCCGTGAATGGTACACTTCGTTATAAAGAGGTAACAAGGCAAAGCAAGAGATTTTCATTGAGCATTGTGTTCATTGCTGCTTTTTAACACTTAATCGGCGCACACTAATGCACCACCTCAATTTTTTATAAAAAAAAAAGCGTATGTAAGAAGGAAACAGAAAAGAGGGAAAGTAATGAATCCATTCATAGACTTCTCTGCCACCGGAAGTATTAGTGAGCGGAGCAGTTTCACTAATACATGCGTTCTCCTGGTTGAAAATAAAAAAAAAATACCGCTGTCAAGTCGAACACTTTGACAGTTGATTTCGTGGTTGAAAATAATAAACAAATCATTTTTACACTGTTGTGTTTGTGAGATCTTGCCGTAAGAAGTTGCCATTTTGCACTAAAGTTGGCTCCTGAGTTGAAATTAATTATAGTTGGAGTTGCTTAATGTCAAATATCTGACTTAAAGTGGTCATTTTATATGATATATGAGGAGATGAAAGTATAGAGTTGACAGTTCAATTAGATTACGGCAGCCCCCCGGGATATCCTTCACTATCCCTCCCCAACATGGGAGTTTGGCAAAGGAGATGATCAAGCCGATTCGTACCTTTTTCAACCTTGGGTCGCTTTCTACTCTCTTTCAGGCTTGATGAAATTTCTCAAATTCACTAGAGATTTTAAAATACTCTTGCCCTGTTGGTTAAGGCAGCCTTCGCCTCGAGTGAGTGGCGCCAGGAATATGGAAGAAGTAAACTAAAACCCCTCGAAAAAGAGAGGGTGAGAGAACTCAAGCGAGAGGATAATTTGACGTGAGATGCGCTTTTCAAGCCATCCGGATGAGGGCAAGAACATGTGATAGAAAACCAGGCTTGATGGAGACTAGCGCGCGAGCGTACCATTTTTCTGAGGAGAAGAATGCCTACTGCAAAATCATTCCACTGAGCTTCAGAGTTTATGAGCGAAGAGGGATACAATGAGAGTGAGGTTTGCTGCCATTTATGTTCTTCTATTCTATCACACGCTCTTACTCTCACTCTGGGTGAACTCCGAGTTTTTTTTGTTGGGGGGAGTTGAACCATAGAGGTAACTCTAAGACTAGAAGGTCCCGAAATAACGTGCTCGACTTTTTGGCTCAGCTCTGGTACTATCTTCGGTCCCAAGCTAATCGATTTACCCCTCGAAACATAGGAGAAACCAATCACCCCTCATTTTATATGTCAAACTTTCATAGCGAATCAAAACAAACATTGCGTAGTACTAGAATTTCGACTAGAATGGGATACGTTAATCGTTTGCTTGGGACCAATAGGCAAGTCAAGTAGTGAGCCAATTTAAAATCGTTAGTTTCGTATTGATTGTTGGTTGAACCACTGCGTCCATTATTTGAACTTTTGTGGTACCCCTGTTTACTGTTCGTATCATGCAAGCTGACCACCATTTAATGAGTGGACAGCTAATTGCCTGGACACGTCCTTTCCCAGTCAGGTATGATATGGTTTATGAAACCAACTACCTTTTACAAGATTAGCAGACCAAATTCCACTAGGTTGTAAGATAACACTACGAAGAAATTTAGATCTACGCCTGTGTAATGCACCGCAACTGCAGAGCAGATGTTCCGAGGTTTCACGTTCTATGCTACAGAAACGGCAGATATCGCTCTGAACCCGACCAATGTTCTTCAAATGATATCTACTCGGACAGTGCCCAGTTACTAGGCCAGTGTAAATACTAAGAGCCCGTTTATTGAGCTCCAAGAGCTTTTTGGTATGTGTTACATTTGGAGTTATTAATCTTTTCGACTGGTTGCACTTCGTGACGGCCATCCAGTTGGCCATCACCCTTTGTTCTTCCCAGCGTTTGAGTTCCTTTTTTACCGTACAGTTTAATATTCCACTGTATGGTTCTGGGCCAATAAACGGTGAATTGAAACCTAATTTTGCGAGATCGTCTGCCCTTTCATTCCCTTCAATGCCACAGTGTCCACACTGTTCGAAAAATTCATGTTAATTTCTGCCAGATATAGCGCACATAAAATTAACGCTAGATTTGGCATAAATTTACGCGATATTTCGTGTGAATATAAGCGCAATATCGCATAAATTAGCAATATTGTATGCAAGCTTGGAAACGATTTCGCTGTTTATGCCAAGAATAGCTCAAAATTAACGAAGGGAGATTTTACGCGATTGAACTATTCAGAATTGTTTTCTGTGCAGGAACCCAATATAAGTTTACTGAGTTCTGTTTGCACAGCTGTTGCAACAAGAAAATACATTCCCAGACAGTCTTTGATGTACATTTGTAATCACAAAGCGCTTTTAGTGCTGCTTGACTTTCATAAAAAATACAGATATTTGCACATCTATATTTTCTCCTTACACAGCTAAAAAAAAGTAGTGCAAATTTCCGTTACTATGATGCACATAAATGGAGCGTCATATATCATACAAGTTTAGATTATAGATCGTGTAAATTTATGAGACATGTCATGCAATATTCCATATATTGTATGAAACTGTCCACTTTTGTTTGCAACATTTCTTGCAAGCTGCTAGTTTACGTGAAAAGGAAGTTTACATGCATGAATGTTTGCATGCATGGATGTTAACATCGCCAGTAAAATTCTGAATTTTTTGGTGTGTAGGCAAACACTTACACATTCAAGTATGGCCACGATTTCCACTTGAAACACTGTTGGACAATGTCCCATCGCTACTGAAATATTTGTCCCAGGGCCAAAGATTCCTGCACCTGTGTTCCAATTTTTGAGCTATCTGTGAAAAATATGATTGAGCCTTGACGAACGCTAGGACCACCGAGTTCCCAATCCGAACGCAACATTTCACATACGTTGAAGGGAGTGTCATAATTGTCCTCTGTTTTCATCCAGTCTCCATTCATACTCATGACTGGTCCTCTTTGGAAGTATTGTAAAATGCTTAGGTGATCAACCAGGTCACCAGGCATAACTTTTTTTTAGACCTTTTGAGCCTTAGAGCACTTCTTTCCGTATTCATGCAAGGGCAGTAGATTGAGAATGGCATCTAACGCTTTTGATGGGGCACTGCGCATCGCACCCGTTATAGTAATACATGCTAGACGTTGTAGTTTTGCCAGCTTCCTCTGTGCGGTAGTCTCTTTCGTGTTTGCCCACCACACTAACGAAGCATAAATTACTTTTGGACTTATTAATGATGTGTAAATCCACATTGTCATTGTTGGTTTCAAACCCCATTTTCTACCAACAGTTTTGGATCATAACCACAGGGCACTGGTTGCTTTGTTGATCACATAATCAATCTGAGCATTCCAATTCAACTTGGCTTCCAATATAACTCCTAGGTATTTGACCTGTCCACTAAGATGGATCTGTTCTCCTCCAAGCTTGAACTCCTTTAGGTTGAACTTCCTCTTTCTAGTAAAAGGAACGATTACTACTTTCGATGGATTAATGTTTAGGCCCTCCTTAATACACCAAGATTGGGTAAACTTTAGAGCTTGTTGCATTCTTTCTGAAATGATAGCGACAAACTTTCCTCTAACTACGATGACTATATCAACCGCAAAGCCCACAACTTCGAAACATTTCGCCTCTAGGCTTCTTAGAAGATTATCTACAACTAAAGACCACATTAGTGGTGAGAGGACTCCTCCTTGAGGACAGCCTTTCGTTGCCTTTACTGTTCTAGATGAGCTTCCCAGCCCAGATGTGACTTTTCTTTTTGCAAGCATAGTAGGCGTCAACCATAGAAGAATAGGATGCGTTGTCAAAAGCTCCTTCAATAGAGATCTCCAAGCGCAATCTCACGAACACTAAAATCCAACATCCATACGTAAAAACGAAGAAGAAGAAGAAACAAAAAGGTATCGCGATATCACAACTACTTAAAAAGGTAGCGCGCGGTCTCACGCACACTTTTGTACATCTGGAGAACTCTATATCCAAGAAAGTGCGATTTCTTTAACTGAAAGTGATTTTTCGATTTTAGCCAAGGTTGCAAAGACTCATTTCAGCTAAAATAATGTTTTTCGGAATAATAAAACCAAAAGATGGTATGATGGCATGTTTTACTTGTAACTTACAAGAAGAGGTTACAAAGTATGCGTTGGAAACATAAAACCTGTAAATTTTGCTTTCTATGAGTCACAATCAGCGATTTGCTGATCGCTGAGTGAGTGAGTGAGTGAGTGAGTGAGTTTGTGAAAAATCGCTGATTGTGACTCTCATGAAGTGAAATAAACAGGTTTAATATGTCAAACACATTCTTTGCAACCTCTTCTTGTATCCTACCAATTCAAAATTTGATCATGGCATCTAATTATTTAATAATTTAGAAAAACATTGTTTTAGCTGAAATGAGTCTTTGCAACCTTGATTTTAGCTACCAAAGTATGGAGAGCAGTAACTGTTGATTTTCCAGATTGATACGCAAACTGAAAATTAGATATTGGGTGCGTTAACATGTAAGTTGAATTGATGAAGTCATTCAACACCTTTTTCATAGTCTTCAGTAAAATTGATGAGAGACTAATGGGCCTAAATGCTTTCGGCTACGTTTTATCACACCTCCCGTTTTTCGGAATGACTATAACTCTTACCAATCTTCATTTTGATGGAATGTAGTTTAATCTTAAGCTCGCCTTATAAATCTCAGTTAGAGACGGAATCAGCATTGCTTCACCGTTTTGAAGTAGTGCCGGGAATATGCCATCCACACCCGTAGATTTAAAAGGCTGAAAAGATCTCACAGCATTCTCCAGTCTGGCAATTGTGAAAATTTCATCAGCTATATCTGATATGGTATTTTCTGTTCTCTGAGACACTGGAACACACACAATACCGAACCTGGAAAATGTGTTTCCATAATTAAATTTAAAGTGTCAGAGGGAGATTTGGTAAAACCTCCATCATGACGTTTAAGATTACCAAGTTCAATCGTATGGTCTTTCGCAAGAGTTTTCTGTTATCTCGCGACTATAGGAGTACTGTTTATATTTTCACACATTTGAATCCAAGATCGCCTCTTAGATTCCCGTATTTCATTATTATATTCAAATAGGGTTTTCTTATATTGAGTCCAATCAGAAGTGATTTTCGCCTTATTGAACATCTTACGTGAAACTTTCCGAAGGCGTTCCAATTTCAAATTCCACCACGGCACATCCCTGTTAGAAGACGACCGTTTGATAGGACAGCTACTGTTGTAGGAATTTATAATTCTTTCGTTTATCTTTTCAGAAAATGATACCAATTGTTGGATAGAATCAATCTTTACGTCGTTTGTAAATATATCTGAATCTAAGCACTGTGCATATTTCTCCCAGTTTGTTTTCCTAGGATCTCTAAATGCAGAAGGTGGTAAATCAGCTCCACCCCATTCAAACATAATGTGTTTATGATCAGAAAGTGAGATTTCATCTGACACACGCCGATTTCGAATCTTCTCAGAGCTGAGCTTCTTGTGTCGAACAAAAAAGTCACCCGGAGTCTCGAAAAGCGCACCTCACGTCAAATCATCCTCCCGCTGAATTTCATTTTCCCTCTCTTTCGAGAAGTGTTTGTTTACTTCTTCCATATTCCTGCCACCACTAACTCTAGGTGAGGGCTGGCTGAACTTGCAGGACATGAGTGTTTTAAAACCTCCAGTGAGTTTGAGGAGTTTCAGAAAGCCTGTATAAAACAATAAAATAAGTGGCAGCAAACCTCATTCCCGTTTTATCCCCCTTCCCGCACAAGCTGTGAGGCTCAATGCTATGATTTGAGAGCAGGAATTCTACTCCTTAGAAAATGCTACGCTCGGCTCATTTCAGACTCGTGAGTGAGGCTTCATCAAGCCTGCTCTCTATATACAATTTTCACACTGCCGTACTCTAACGGAACTATAAACTTTCATCTTGACAAGCTCTGAAAGCTTTTCACAATTGATTTAACTCGTGGAAAAATAAATTACTCGCTAATCTTTCAGTCTTATGATCATTAAACTGTTGGTCCAACACTAATAGATTTTTGAAAACGAATGACCAGTTGAAAAAAGGGTTGAAAGCTGAACTGTTTTGGTGAGAGTGAACAAATTCTAATTTTGTAAAAACCGCATATCTAATTCATACACGCTTATATGCGGATTTCTTAGTTAAATGGATCCCGGACGATAGAAGTGTAAAATTTGGTGGACTAAAAAATATATCAATTTTTTTCTTTAAACTCAATAAGATTTTATTTTTTTCATCACTCGTATCTTCGTCACTCGCCTGGCATGATTTTTTAACTTTCTTAGCAACACTTTCATGTACAAAAATTTAACATTACACTTGAAGAACTCAAAATTTCCTATTGTTTTCTTTCTGAGGTGGCAGAGTGGCGAGAAACGCCAGGGCCCGTGCTATCGGTGCTGGAACGGGTGGAGGCGTCGGAAGGTGCTCTGCCGATGGACGGTAGCCATTCTCGTCGGCCGTGTAGGATACACTGTAGGTTTTCCCATCGTCGCCCTAAGAAAACAAAGGTTTTAACTTTGACTTCACTTCGATAAATGTTATCACAGTCATCACCTGATAAGTGTATTGTCCTTGAGAAGCCGTCCCCGCCTGGTTGTTCACCACAATCTGTTGACCATCCTGAACAGCTCTGGTGCCGTCTCCGCCTTCATAGCTGAAAATCCGAAGGATATTAAGCGTTCCTTCATCACACTTCACCATCTGAGTCTTATACCTGTATCTAAACTTTCCGTCAACTTCCAGTACATTCTCGTGGGACACTATCGGTATATCCTTGAATCTTGATCCCGACTTTGTCTGCTGACCACTTGCTACTAATATCACACTCAGCAAAATAAGCCCTTTGAACGCCATCCTAGACCAATATTCAACGTGATGGAAAACAAACTCCAAATCTAAACACTTGTAACACTTGGAACACGACCCAGCACTGCATCCAAGAATGGTCTCATTACTTGTATTTATATAGCAAATTTACCAAACCCAAAAAGCGGACTGAAAAAAGGGTGTTCTCCATCGAGCCACAGCCCTAAAAGAGGAAATCTCGAACCAACTCTCCAGGGCCCACGGCCAAATGGCAACTTGTTCGTGAGTTCTCTGCGATTGTGTTCTTTGGGATTTTCATCATCATCGTCATCATCATCGGCGGTGGAAGTTGCACGAAAATCTCCGATCAGTGCAAGACACAGCATGAGATTTTTCTCCACTATGCTTCGGTATACCTCGGCTGGGCCAAACTCTCCCACCCAATTAGAGCCCGGGCGGTACGGGTTTTCAATTTTGTTCCGTTTGTTTTCCCTTTCTAGCGAGATCAACGGCCACATAATGCAACCAAGACGAAACGACTTTTTCACAAAAGCGTTCATACTAAAAACGCTTCGTTCCGACTTCCCCAATGAGGCCTTTAGGTCTATAGCCCCATATAGGTTCGTGAATCTCTTTGCGCAATGGAACAAAAGACTTGCCCTCTGCTAAAGTCACAGCCTCAGACACAAAATGAAACCATTAAGATGATAAAAATCAGCACTGGATAATGTGGCAATTTGCCGTAAGCGGCTTACCATTAATCACTACGTGGATGTTTTGGCTGAAAAGCTAAAAATCTAACATGACATGAGAAAATATACTCATGTGAGTGTTGTCTTTTTTGGCCTTCAAAAACCGATTTGGCAAATTTGAATACGCTCCAAGCCTTGTTTTGTTTGTTCTGCCGTACACACGACTTCACGTTCGGATGCACCTAGTGGAGATGAATGGGGCGTGATAAAGCTGTCGTCATAACGATTTTTGCTGGGGAATCTCTCGCTTTTCGTCGTCCCGCTGCCAGCATCTGCAGAAACGACTGGGTGACATCCCAGCGAAGAAAAAGAGAAGTTATGAAGGTCAGTCATTTGTCGGCTGGGTACATGTGTATTATTGGCGGTATTCGCGTTCGACGTAGGGTGGTTGCGACGCTTTAAGCTATAAACTTACTCTTATTGCAGAATCAAGATTTAACTACGCTCTGATGGTTATTGTTTTGACCACCTTCAGAGAAAATTTTTTTGAGCTGTAGCTGTAAATTCTTCAAGACTCAGAGAGAGCATGTTGTGAACCGTTAATAAGAAAGTCTGTATATGAAAGTATGTAGTTTGAATTCTCTAATGAACGTATATATAACATGAGCATGATCATGAGTGTTAATGATCGTACAATTCGTAGTTGCTACTACGTGATTAACCAGACTAAGTGAAATTAGCACAAAGAACCAAAGGAATGGGGCTTGGGATTTGTAATCCATTCTCAGGGTGTAAACTGTGGTGAATCAGTACTGGTCGCTGGCTACAGCCCTACGGTCAGCGGGAAGTGGAAGGATTGTTAGTTCGACATCCGTTGTTACTAGAGACCGAGTATGGAGTGTGGCTTTTTTTAGTGGGGAGGGTGAATTAGATCTGGATTAACTTTGGAAAGTGATACGATCTTGTAAACCATAGCATGCTTAGCATAACATAGCATATGTCACATGTGAGGATGTGACCCTGTAAACTTAGTCATCCAGTAAAACGGCTTGGGATTGAACCCACGATCTTCTGCTCAGTAAGCAAAAACGGTCAACATTAGGTCACCGACCCCCTATATTACAACAAATAATTGCATCTGATGACGGTTCAAGCCCAAAGACATAAAGCTATTCAAATAAATTGACGGTTTCAAAAGCAGTCAACAATGTTTTAAAACCCTGATCGAGCATACGTCACATTTAACCCAAATTATAAATAATTCCGTTCTCTACAGAGACTTCTGTATTACAAAATGAGCTTGGGATTGACTCCAATATATTCTGCTCAATAGGCTAAACCGGTTGCCAATAGGCCTTACCAGTGCCGAATATATGATTCGGGGGACCGTGGCAGCTCTCCTTAGGGGGGCCCACATATTATCTGCTTTTGAAGTATTAAAATTTGTTTACAACAAAATCAAAAGAAAATCAAATAAATAAATGGAACCTACATTTCACCACAAAACATATATAGGGGAAATGGCTTTAATGTTAGCCTATGGATCTAAGATTGGGCCCATCGCTAAAAATCTGCTATTTATCAATTTTATCTAGATGAACGCGTCGTTGGGGCGGTACTAATGGATATTTTTGGTCGCTAGTGAAAATTTAGTCGATCGCTGAATTTATTTATGGGCCCAAATTAAGGGAATTTAGGTCGACATTACATACATTTCTACTATGTAGGGAAACCAAATTTAATAAGAATATATATCAGTGACTATGATTAGACACTCAAGAAGTTTGCAAGTAGTAAACGAAATATGTACCTGTTATAGTTTAATGTGATAGTGAAAGTAAATAGTGAAAGAGGATGGACCGGAACCTGGATGGAGAGACAGTCACGCTTATCACTACAGCACCGGCACCGCTAACTTATGTCTTATCATGCTAGCAATAAGTGCTCCAAAATAACCACAGCGATTAGACCGAGACTTGCACTTTTATCACACTTTTTGTTTTTTTTTTAGCAGTCTAGTTTCATACACAATCAGCCATATTTTCTACCTCTACACGTCGTCCCCGTTCTAAACATACCTATATTGTTGGATTTGACAGTTTTCTTTTTCAAAAACCCTTTACCACAATAAAGGATGGTAGTGGACATGCTAGGCAAACACAGTTGTACACACAAACTGCTCATTTGTTAATAACTTTTTACTTAGTTATTGTAATTGGTTTTTCTTTAAATTTAATTGATATTTTTTTTTTGATAGGATTTGAACCACTGCAATCATTAAGCAGATCTATTGTGGTAGGGATCATAGCTTACTATAGATATGTAGAAAATAGATAAATCTTAAAATTTGAATCTACACCAATGATTTTTACACTTAAAGTCCGAGATGTGTAGCAAGCATTTCTCACACCATTTTTACAACGCAAAAACAAATACAGTTTATTACTAGAATTAAAATCTACTTTATTTTATTTATCTATAACAAACTTAAACTCTATTCTATATATACTCTATTCTATCTACTGCTTCAAAAAGAACTATGTTTCGTCAACTCTGTGTAAAGTTATTAGCAAATGAGCAGTTCGTGACCAAAACTGTGTATACCAAGCATGGTGGTGGACATCGAATTTTAAAATCTACACGTCGTTCTCGTTCCGAATATACCCATATTGCTGGGTATCAGACAGTATTTCTAAAACCAATGACTGCCATCCAGGATTTCAAAATGGCATCCAACATGGATTTTCGACTTCTATACGTCATCCCTGTTCCAGAAGTATTCATATTGAAGGGTATTTGTCAGTTTTTCTAAAACAGATTTTGTTTTTTTTTTATTATAGTCACTTTAACACTCTTGGGTAATTCGTGACTTGTCCGGGGGTGTGATTTGAACTCGTGACTTTGGCGTGATAGGTATGGATGTTAACCACTACGCCGGGGTCACCCCCTTTAAAACAAATGTGGCGGACATCTGTTTCCAAAATGGCGTTCAGCTTCGATTTTCGAAATGTACGCCTTTTCCGAAAATATTCACATTGAACGTAACATACTATACGGGGTAAGCTTCGAAACATAGCATATTCAGGAAGTTCGCAGGCACGCTAGCGCCACGTAGTCAGAAATTTCTGATCTAATATGACCACCATCCGAAAGACTGTGGCCATTTGAAAAACTTAGCTGAAGACAGTAACCTTCTAGCGCCTCGTAGTGAGAGGCTCTGATCTATTATGGCCACAATCCGAAAAGACTTGTTCATCTAAACAACTTTGCTGAAGACAGTAACCTTTTATATGGCCAGGATCTTGAGATACAGCTTATATAGAAAGATCGCATGCACACTAGTGCCTCGTAGTGAGAGAGATTTGATCTATTATGACCACCATCCAAACAAAATTTGGTCACCTGAACAACTTTGCTCAAGGCGGCCACTTTCTATATGGCCACGATCACTGGGCCCAAAAGTCATATATTATAGCGCCTGTCATAAGGACCTATGCATTAATTATGTCACGCTAAATCGAGCAAAAAACTTCCACCTCCCCCCTATCGTGACGTTTTTCCTATACCTACACAGATAAAAATTCTGAATTTTAATTGTGATGTAAACATTTATTCACGTAAACTTGTATTTCATTTCACGCAACCTAGCAACTTGTAAACAATGTTGTTTGCAACAATGGGCTTTTGTATACAATATTTGCTACATTGCATGAAATGTGTTAGAAGTTTACATGATATATAATGTAATCGTATATGATATGTGACGCTCCATTTATGTGCATCATATTGAACAGAAATTTACACTACTTTTTCGAGCTGTGTAATGCATTGCTTGTCACAAAATCTTAGATACCCTCCCCCTTAGAGCGTGACATAATATATGCATCAACCCTAAGTAGTATGAAAGTGAAGCGCCTATAGTGGCGTAGTTCTCAATAAGACCTTTATCCAAAGGCACAAGCTTGTTAGTCTAACCCAGTTCAACAACTTTGTCGAAGACAGTACAGCTTTATATATTGAAACTAATGAGATAATCCAACACAGTCCCTATCAGTGAAAATCCCATGAGCTGTGGGTATCCTTATTGGTGGTTCCTTATTCATGATCCCTATCAACCGGGAATAAGGGACTGTAATTTCCATATAATTTTAATAAAATCAGTATCCTTGAAGTGATGTAAGACTTTCAAGAAAATTAAAAACCAGCATAGAGTTTAAATTTCTGTGATATAAAAGTGCTCGGAATTATATCAATCATCACATTATTTTGCGTGGCAAATTTAGACATTTTGGTTCTGGTTTCTGTAGAGAGACAGACTTTACTCTCGCGTTAAGTGCACGGAATAACCCACGATAGGGTAGAGCACTACTTCGTCGTAGTCTCCCATTTCCATTCTATCGATCAGAAAAGATCAATAACATCAATGATTTCAATGTGCACAAATCAAGAATAGGTTTGTTCCGATGCGTTAGTTCATTAGCTACAACATAAATCATGTTAGAGCGCATTGTATGAAAATTTACGCTCATTGTTCTCAAAACAAAAGAAGCGCTCCTAGCAAATCCCCTTTTTCTACGTTTATCCGTAGGACGAAGAAAATCTAATGGCGTTTCAATGCGTTAGGACGGAATTGAAACTCGTAGAACGAATTTAGAATCAAGAAGCAGTATTAGATTTTAAACAATATCTCAGCAATTTGTGACTCCTTATCAAATCTAACGGTACGTATGGAAAGGTGAATAAATGTAGAAGTCATCTTTGACAGATATATTTCATTCAGAAAAGAGAGGTAAAGCGCAGGTTGTGTTTAGTAGGACGAAAATTAGATCAAAAACCCTACTACCAACCGGTGGAAACTAACGATTTTAAATTGGCTCACTCCTTGAGTAGCCTATAGGTACCAAGAACATCTATAGGCGTACCCCATTCCAGTCGAAATTCTAGAACTACACTATGTTGGTGTTGATTCACTATGAAAGTTTGACAGATAAAATAAGGGGTTCGTGGATTTTCCTATGTTTCGAGGGGTGCATCGATTATATTCATACCGAGTGACCTGACTAATGTGAAAATCTGTGCTCGATCTTGGTCATTCCCAATCTTTGAAAGTAGTGCGCCCAACATTAAAAAAAAACCACAGCACGATAGCGGCTTTTCAAAATGCCTTCTAAGACAAAGTTATAAAAAACTGATTGACTCCAGGCCTGTGCAGATTCAAAGTTCAAACAATCAATGATCAGGATAAAGATTCTTCATCTGATACATGCCATCTATCCAGCTCCTGATTCAATTTGTCCAGAACGTAATGTCTAACACTTTTTCTCTAGAAGATACCATTAAGGTTGGGCGATTGCCTATATTCAAAATTGCAAGATCCTTACTATTCAATTATTCATTCTAACTGGTGCCTCTCGGAATAATATCTGAGCTACCCCAGATGATGTGGGCATTTGCATCCCTGCTTACAATGAGTGGGAGGCCTTTTGTATCCCGGTATGCAATAACTGTTTTAAGGGGAACAACCGTCAAAAGGCGCGCCCCTTTGTCAGTCGAAATTGAATTCCTTAGCAATAAAATTAAGATATGACACCGATAATGACCATGCATCAGAACCCTAGTCTTAACCATTTCAAACTAGGGAACAACGAATAGAAGATTCACATAGATGAAGACAACTAACTCATTTTTTTCCTTGTTACAAGATCATCCTCGGTAGACAAAGCCGAGTCTTGTCACTATCAACAAGGCATAAAAAGTAACAAGGAATAAGATGTGTTCCTTGGAGGTGATCTACCCACGTTACGGGGCTGGGTTTGATTTAGTAACTTACTGGTAGTTTTTGGTAACTTTGTTTTGCCAACGAATGTTTAGGAAAATTTCTAGAAATGGTTCAAGGTTTTTTTTATCAGAAATTTGGATAATGTCAAGTATGTATGTTATGAGATAACTAAGGGATCTTTTAAGAAGGTCAACTAACATTTGAGCGATTTTCCGCCCTTTGGGTTTTTCAGTAGCGAAAAAGCGTAGGGGAAACAGCCCAAAATGCACCCCAGGGCAAAACTCCCGATGTGATTTTTCATAGCATTCCCGTTTTTAATTCATAAATTTAACAAGCCGCAGTTGGGGTTTTACCAAAACCGGTTATAACGGTATTACCATAGAGGTAACTCTAAGACTAGAAGGTCCCGAAATAACGTGCTCAACTTTTTGGCTCAGCTCTGGCACTCTCTTCGGTCTCAAGCTAATCGATTCACCCCTCGAAACATAGGAAAAACCAATAACCCCTCATTTTATCTGTCAAACTTTCATAGCGAATCAAAACAAACATTGCGTAGTACTATAATTTCGACTAAAATGGGATACGTTAATCGTTTGCTTGGGACCAATAGGCTAGTCAAGTAGTGAGCCAATTTAAAATCGTTAGTTTCGTATTGATTGTTGGTATTACCGTACTATTTTACCATACTGAAATACTTAAAATTATGCAGTTTTATTGTAGTTCCTTCTAATACCGGTTTTACCGGTACATATTATATTTTTCAATACCGGAAAACCGGTTTAAGAAATAAGCCTTTGGTATTGCCAACCCTAGCCACAATGCTAGTTAAGTACTGAAACTAGCATTTTGGCACAAAAATCCCAGAATTAAAAGTGGAATAGCTATGAAATACCAAATCGGACGTTTTGCCCGGGGTTCATTTTTATCCTGTAACCTACATGTTTTGCAACGTACCATATCTACTTGATAATACAATATTTGAAACAACGTCATTTTTTAAGACTTCACGGGGCTGCTATTTTAGGAAGATTTATATTTTAAGAGGGCAGGTTGAGTGCGACTACTTAGCTCAAATATTAGAAACACTGCACTGGTACGGAATACATACCGTTGATATACAAATAAGTTGTACTTCCTATATTGATTAACAATGTTTAGCTAAGTGTTTTAATATGTCAAATATGTGACAGCGCCATGTTTGATTTTTGAATGTTTATTTTTCAATTCTTTATTAGGGTGATTTTAAGCCACCTCTGGCCTAGCTCTTCACCATGAACTAATAATTTTTATATGGAGTCCCCAATGAGTTTGTTTGCAAATAACTTTATGACCTCACTGCAGCACCCACCCTAACCCTTTCACTGGAAATCAGAAGATATTTTCGTTAAAATCTCCGCACGCTATCGCACTTAGTGACCCCACCCGCGATGACACTCATCCATCTCACCAACCGCAGCAGGCACAAATTGACATTCCCCACGCACCATTGATTTCATCTCATGCGCTCTCATACCAACGATCCTCCGCCTTCTGGCCTAGCCATCACGTGCACCATAATCGATCCAAAGACATCCTAATAAACGCTCTTTAAAAGAAATTAAATATAAATTTTTTCTAGAATTAGTGAAATTCGTTCAATGTTCATAATTGTTCAGGTTTTTTGAACAATTTAACTCAATTTAATTGTTGTTAATGTTAATTATTTAGGTGCCGTTTATAGTTTTACCTACTGGTCCGTGAGCAACAAGCGTAGAGCAAACAAAAAATCCAACTTGCTAAATATGTGTATACTAAATGACGAAAATTAAATAAATGTCCTCCGCACTAATATCGCACCGGTCTGTGAACCGACGACGGCTGGCGCAGCGCAGTTGCGGGGAAGATCATCTTCTTATTTTTTGCTTCTTCTGATGCTGCTTCATTCTCCATTTCGTCTTGTCACACCAACCTGATGGTCGCATAAATCAAACTTTTGTGCATTTCACACAGTGACAACGATTTGACATATATAAAGCTTACTCAATTCGTTCCAAAGTCATCAGAGTGCCATCAGCCGCTACCTAAGCAAAGTGTTCATCCTCTAAGTCAGTGCCATAGAAAGTGATCTAGCCAGAATTTTTTATAGAACAATGAAGGTGTTTATTGGAATTATTGCCATCTTGGTGGCCGTTGCTTATGCTGCACCCCAAGGTCAGAGCGATGCTGACACCCCGATTGTGAGCCAGAATTCAGATATTCAACCGGACGGCAGCTTCAACTATGCGTAAGTGTAATGTTCAAAAGTGCATTGAAGAGGAACCTACAATGTGATTGTGATTTCAGTTTTGAAACCGGGAACGGAATCAAGGTCGAAGATCAAGGAACCATCAAGATAGTGAAAGTTCCCAAGACCGACGCTACCGGACGAGCGATAGGTGAAGAGGAAATTTCCGTGTCGGTGCAGACGGGATCCTACCAGTACACTGCTCCTGATGGACAGATCTATACGGTCCGGTAAGGAGTGCCACAAGCCTGCTTTGAAGGCAGCTCTACAAAAATGGAATATCTAATTGAAACGTTTGTGGATTATTTGTTATTTCAGGTACATCGCCGATGAGAACGGTTTCCAACCGCAGGGAGATCATCTTCCAGTTGGACCAGTTGTCTAGTCTGATGGGGATCGATTACGTCAGTACAAAACGAAACACGTGCAATATCTACCGATTACTGTAAATAAATTGTAGCTGGTAATCAAATATTACTATCTTCACAATATAGATCATTTGATTTATTTCTTAGTATCTGAAAATCAATCTTCAAACATAACTTTATATTTAAACTTGCACTGCTACTTAAACTTTTCAGTGCAACTAAACTTGGGCAGCAGATTCAATATTACATATTTTGTGAGAGCTATTATGTGTGCAGTCGAAGATTAGAAGTGATAATGACATCCATCAAAAGTTGGACTTCCATCGAGATTTTTTTAACGTGACAGTTCAGACCGATCACTAGACGAAAATTATCAGCTAACAGTTCAAAGCCAGTGATAGTGCATTGCAATCAAAAACACACAGTGAAAAGTGTTAACAAGTGAACAGGTTGAGTGAAAAACTTCCAGTTTGTTCAACTATCTTCGTCAAAAAAACTGAGCATCGTCAGGATGAAGAACTCGACTCTTTAGTTATATGGTGGCACATATGCGTGTCCTTGCAAGGTGAGAAGAGAGCGAAAACTCACTCGGTTCGTATTCCGTACTCACTCTCTTCTATGCCGTTTCTATTTTATCTCTTCAGTGGTGAACGAATAGAGAATCTATGCAGAGACCACCCGAGATTCAATCCAGAAAGAATGAATCTCAATATGCATAACAAAATCATTGGTATCTTCGGAATGGGTTCGACCAGTAGAAGCTGAAACTCGATATTCGATGCCAATTTGAATGCCAAAATGGTGGACCCCCTTGAATTTGTTAGCAGAAAGACCCCCTCCCCTTAATCCGCCCCCACAATCTTGAGGCAAAGGAGCAGTTTAAGGCAAAATAGCGAAAAAATGATTTTTTTATTCGACCTACTCCGATATCTCTGTCATTTTACGACCAATTTTCGTTCTCTTTAAGTAATTTGAAAGGTATTGAATGGAACCTGTTTGGTAGGTAAATGGCTCAATCTAATTTTCGAATTTTGTGTACTTAAAGTTCACCCAAAGGTACAACATTTTTCATAATTTACTCTGAAGAATTAAGACTGCTTTTTATTGGCAAAATATTTAAATAAAAGTAGTAGTAGAACCCTTATTCTATACCGTTGGATAGAACCGGACACTTTCGTGAAAATTTGGAGGAGAAATTTAATAAATATTTAATTGATAAGAATATTTATGCAAGTAACCGATCAAAATTTTGCGGTTACCTCACAGTATGGTGTTTCACTGGGGTAAGTTTAGGTGAAATTTTACTTTAAAAAATTAAAATATATGCTAATCCACTTGCCATATATTTAAAAAATTTCGTGACTTGAATACATATTTTCATGATTCAAATATTTTCTAAATGTTTCTACCAAATTTTCTCAATCGGAGCCCGTTGGGTATTGAATAAGGGCTCTACCACCCCTTTCAATTCAAAATTTGGTCGACTCAGTTCTGAGAAAATCAGCAATGATTATTCAGTGTAAATTATGATAAATTTTGCAACTTTAGATGAAATTGTAGTAAACTAAATCTGAAAATTGAATTCCTTCCACATTATCTAAGGAGCAAGCATGGAAAAAATCGTTTCAATTTGCATTTACTACTCACTCAGACGCATACAATATCAGAGACGAGCAAAAGCTTGTGCGAGCCGCACTGGTTTCGTTCGTTTTCTCATAAACGCAGAATTGCAACAGCATAAACGCAAAACAGACAGCTGGGCATATTATGAATGATTTTGAGTGTAGTGGTGTGGATGATTCCTCACTCATTATTTGTTGCATATTAAGCCATTAAATTTATTTTTTCAAACAAAACCTCAAAACTATGGGCACTTGAAAACTGACAAAAATCGTACAACAAGATCATTTGTTATTTTTTTTAACTTGTTGGTAGTACACTTATTCGTGCATTTTTTTTTACAGAAAATGATTTGAAATTTTTTACAACAACTCAAAAATTAGTATAAATTTCATAAAAAACGTTTTAACAAAATGTTTAGAACATTTCTAATAAGTTTTTGTTCTACGATTTTAGTCTATTTGAAAGTGTCCATATGTTTAAACATGGGCTTGGTATATCGTCGGTTGTAGCTTGATGTGATTTAAATCGCACGGTGGCTTTAGATCATGGGTTAGCACCCAAGCCTGAATTGATCTATCCCGGGCGTCTATTGTAAAAAACCATTACTAATATAATTCGGGCGGAACGGTACGGACAAAAATTCGTTTAGATAATATATGACGTACGTTAGATATTATTATTTTTTATTTTATTATTATTTGTTATTATGACTGCATGGAACAGCAACTCGATGGTTAAAACGGAGCTCGTTTGCCTAGTGTTAAATGTTTTTGCTTAATGAGCAGAAGACCGTGGGTTCAATCCCAAGCTCCTTCGTGTCGTTAGGACATCAATTCAGCTTATCGTTTACCAAAACAAACCTTGCTGCAAACCCAACCGGTCGGTAAATGCTGGGTAATGCGCAATACAGATCCCATTGAGATCACTAGCCTCTTCCCAGCAACTCCTATTCCTACCTCCCCGTGGTACCGGCCGGAAACTGTGAGCAACCTTCGGGAAGATCGAGAAACTAACCCCGGTGGTAACTTTGGTCATAGGCTGACAAGGAAGTGGGGGGTTTGGTCATAGGCTGACAGGGAAGTGGGGGGTTCTCCAGAAGGAGCGGCTCACAACAGCGTCTGTTCCCCATGTTAGGGGCGACTGATCGACGTCCGAGTGCCACTGAAGGACTCTAAGCACAACTGTGCACCCTGGTCCTCCGGAAAGTTAGGGGGTTGGTGTCAGGCCCTTCGAGCCAGCCGTAAAAAAAGCATTGCAACGGAAAATAAGCAACAGAAGAATACGAACTGAGACCAACGGCAACGACCCCAGCGACGAAATAGGACTTGTGATTGGAAACTCGGCACGTGGAACTGTCGATCTCTCAATTTTATCGGGAGCACCCGAATACTCGCCAATCTACTGAAGGACCGCGAATTCGGCATCGTAGCGCTGCAGGAGGTGTGTTGGACAGGATCCATGGTGCGAACGTTTAGAGGTAATCATACCATCTACCAGAGTTGCGGCAACACACGAGAGCTGGGCACAGCTTTCATCGTGATGGGCGAAATGCAGAAGCGCGTGATCGGTTGGTGGCCGATCGACGAAAGAATGTGCAGGTTGAGGATCAAGGGCCGATTCTTCAACTTTAGCATAATCAACGCACAGCCCTCACTCCGGAAGCACTGCTGACGACAAAGACACATTTCACGCGCAGCTCGACCGCGAGTACGATCGCTGCCCAACCCACGACGTCAACATCATCATAGGAGACCTAAACGCTCAGGTAGGCCAGGAAGAGGAATTCAGACCGACGATTGGAAAGTTCAGCGCCCACCAGCTGACGAACCGGAACAGCCTACGACTCATCGATTTCACCGCCTCCAAGAACATGGTCATACGTAGCACCTTCTTCCAACACAGCCACCCCTATCGTTACACCTGGAGATCATCACAGCAGACGGAATCGCAAATCGACCACGTTCTGATTGACAGACGGCACTTCTCCGACATTATCGACGTCAGGACCTATCGTGGCGCTAACATCGACTCTGACCACTACCTGGTGATGGTCAAACTGCGCCCAAAACTTTCCGTCATCAACAATGTACGGTACCGACGCCCGCCACGGTACAACCTAGAGCGACTGAAGCAACCGGATGTCGCCTTAGCAGAATCTCGAGGCAGCGTTGCCAAAGGACTGCTGGAGTACAGTAAAAGTAGCCATCACCGACGCAGCCGAGAGCACCATCGGGTACGTGGAAAGAAGGAGTGCAGAGCGGTTTTGGAGGAGAAGAATGCAGCGCGGGCGGTATGGAACCCGACAGAACGTGGAACGGTATAAACAGAAGCAGAAACAGCAGAACCGCATCTTTCGGGAGAAAAAACGCCGCCTGGAAGAAGCGGAGTGCGAGGAAATGTAACTACCATAGAGGTAACTCTAAGACTAGAAGGTCCCGAAATAACGTGCTCAACTTTTTGGCTCAGCTCTGGTACTCTCTTCGGTCCCAAGCTAATCGATTCACCCCTCGAAACATAGGAAAAACCAATAACCCCTCATTTTATCTGTCAAACTTTCATAGCGAATCAAAACAAACATTGCGTAGTACTAGAATTTCGACTAGAATAGGGTACGGTAATCGTTTGCTTGGGACCAATAGGCTACTAAAGTGGTGAGCCAATTTAAACTCGTTAGTTTCGTATTGATTGTTGGAACTACTGTGCCGTTCCCAAGAAACACGGAAGTTCTACCAGAAGCTCAACGCATCCCGCAACAGCTTCGTGCCGCGAGCCGAAATGTGCAAGGATAAAGACGGGAGCTTCTTGACGGACGAACGTGAGGTGATTGAAAGGTGGAAGCAGCACTTCTATGCGCACCTGAATGGCGAGGAGAACGTAGGCAAGGGAGACCAGCGCAATGGAGGAAACGACTACGTCAGTGCAGCAGAGGACGGAACTGACCCAACTCCCACGCTGAGGGAAGTTAAGGATGCCATTCAGCAGCTCAAAAACAACAAAACAGCTGGTAAGGATTGTATCGCAGCCAAACTCATCAAGATGGGCCCAGAAAAGTTGGCCACCTGCCTGCACCGGATGATAGTCAGGATCTGGGAAACAGAACAGCTACCGGAGGAGTGGAAGGAGGGGGTAATCTGCCCCATCCAAGATCAGCTTCCGTCGTCTATCACCTAAAATGACCGAGTTCGTGGGAAGTTATCAAGCCGACTTCATCGACGGCCGATCAACAACGGACCAGATCTTCACCATACGGCAAATCCTCCAGAAATGCCGCGAATACCAGGTCCCAACGCATCATTTGTTCATCGACTTTAAGGCGGCATACGACAGTATCGGCCGCACAGAGAGCTATGGAAAATCATGGACGAGAACGGCTTTCCTGGGAAGCTGATCGGACTGATCAAAGCAACGATGGACGGTGAGCAAAACTGCGTAAGGGTTTTGTGTGAACTATCCAGTTCATTCGAATCTCACCGGGGACTGCGACATGGTGACGGACTCTCATGCCTACTCTTCAACATCGCTCTAGAAGGTGTTACGACGAGCCGGGCTCAACAGCCGGGGTACGTTTTTCACAAACCGGTCAATTTGTTTGCTTTGCGGACGACATGGACATCATCGAAAGAACATTTGGAACGGTGGCAGAACTATACACCCGCCTGAAACACGAAGCAGCAAAGGTCGGACTGGTGGTGAGTGCGTCAAAAACAATGTACATGCTAGTAGGCGGAACCGACCATGACAGGATTCGTCTAGGAAGTAATGTCACGGTAGACGGGGATACTTTCGAGGTAGTGGAGGAATTCGTTTACCTTGGATCCTTACTGACGGCTGACAACAATGTGAGTCGTGAAATACGAAGGCGCATCATCAGTGGAAGTAATGCCTACTACGGGCTCCAGAAGAAACTATAGTCAAAAAAGATTCACCCCCGCACTAAATGTACCATGCACAGAACGCTAATAAGACCGGTGGTCCTCTATGGACACGATACATGGACTATGCTCAAGGAGGACCTGCAAGCACTCGGAGTTTTCGAGCGACGTGTGCTAAGGACGATCTTCGGCGGTGTGCAGGAGAACGGTGAGTGGCGGCGAAGAATGAACCACGAGCTCGCTGCACTCTACGGCGAACCCAGCATCCAGAAGGTGGCCAAAGCCGGAAGGAGAGCTAGATGGTTGGAGAAGTATGAACTAAAACTGAATTAGAAAGCGATGTACATTAGTTAAGGCCTCTAAACTTTTAATACCGACCCTGTTTGAATGATCTTCAAATTATAATATAATTTCCAGAGACACAATAAATCATTCTTTGTTCAGCTAGCGATCATAGTAGTTCAGTTTAAATATATGTTTAAAAACGTTTCACGGTCCCTCGAGATCATAACTAATGTACATCGTTTTCTAGTTCAGTTTTAGTTCATACTTCTCCAACCATCTAGCTTAAACCACAAACGAAGTGACACACGACTAACTGGCGGAGAAATCAATTGAAATAATATGGTTCGCTGTAATAGAATTTTCTTAGAAGCTTGTGCCATCAGCCACCAGACGGGCTAGTATTTTTGTTTTGATTTGAATAATGTTGATGTGTGCAATGATCTTTGACAGTGTGCAAAGGTTGTATCATTTTGTCATTTTTTATGCATTTCAGTTTTGAGTAGAGTGAAAGAGATAGAACCAAAACATTCTAGTACATTTGATGAAAATGCTAGTACAATCCAGTAGTAGCAACAATCAATTCGAAACTAACGATTTCAAATTGGCTCACTACTTGACTTGCCTATTGGTCCCAAGCAAATTGATTGACGTACCCCATTCTAGTATAAATTCCAGTACTACACTATGTTTGTTTTGATTCGCTATGAACGTTTGACATATAAAATGAGGGGTTCGTGGATTTTTCTATGTTTCGAGGGGTGCATCGATTAGCTTGGAACCGAAGATAGTACCAGAGCTGAGGCAAAAAGTTGAGCTCGTTTCTTCGAACCCTTCTGGTCTTAGAGTTACCTCTATGGTAGTAGGGTGGTTGGCCGTTTAAGCGTTCGGACTAATTAATGAATCGAAAAATTTATTTGATCGGCCGTTTCGCAAATCGAGTTATTTTTAATGATTTTTATCGATTATGCGGAACTTTCCTAAGCGATTAGTAGTTATCAAGCGATGCTATAGAATGGTATCAAAACCCGATTTGTTTACGTTTTAGACATAGGTTCATTTCAAGTGTCACTCTAGACTTAGCTATTGGCGTTAACGGCCCCCGCGAAAAATCTTCTATTTCAGCAAATATAGTCAGTTTCTTATGGGAATTTTCAATGGAGTGAAAGGATAGTACGAACATAGAGGTAACTCTAAGACTAGAAGGTCCCGAAATAACGTGCTCAACTTTTTGGCTCAGCTCTGGTACTATCTTCGGTCCCAAGCTAATCGATTCACCCCTCGAAACATAGGAAAAACCAATAACCCCTCATTTTATCTGTCAAACTTTCATAGCGAATCAAAACAAATAGTGCGTAGTACTAGAATTTCGACTAGAATGGGGACCGTTAATCGTTTGCTTGGGACCAATAGGCTAGTCAAGAAGTGAGCCAATTTAAAATCGTTAGTTTCGTATTGATTGTTGGTACGAAGTCCGCCATGTTTCACGTACAGTCTGACTTTGCTTATGGATTTTCTCATATGAGTAAAAAGCTACAGAGTCGCCGTCAATGCCAATACGTGTATGGACCGGATGCAGCAGCCCCAATACGACAGCCCATTTAAATGACCCCATCACCTTCACCGTCGACTCGTTCTCTCCATCATTACCAGTTAGGTCAAAACAATTTCAAAATTCAGTGTAACAGTCGCAACAGAAATCAGAAGAGCAGTCGCCTGAAACATGTAATGTCATGTAATGTTACAACAATACATTTCAATACGTTCGGAAATGTGTATGAACTCAAATACCGTTTGATGGCGTAGTAAAATTTATTCCGACGTCAGCGATCACTTGGTACACCAACTTTGAAGAAAGGAAATCACAGTCTTCTTTATACATTAGTCATTTTCGAAGCCATCGAGGGCTTCGGAATCAAAGATAGAAGTACATGTCAACAGACTTATTCAGTTAGGAAAGTCAACTTCAATTAATCCTAATATAAATACACGCGGATGCACCACACCCGGGCAACCGTATAACTGCTGCTCTAAACAAAGTTCCACTCAATAAACCGCTTTACCGCCTTTACTGATGATAATACTGCCCGTGGTAGTCCAGCTCCGCTCGCTGGGCAGCCGTTTCCGCGTACTTAGGATTCGACTTTTCTTCCTGCTCCCGGCGCCTGATTCCGGCGTAGATTTCATCCAGCCCCTTCTGGATACCCGCCGGAATTGGTGGCTCGGTGGGGAGGTGATCACCGGTCACACGGAATCCCTTCTCATCGGCGGTGTACTGGACGTGGATGATCTGACCGTCCGGGGCTTCGTACGAGTAGGCACCCTGCTGCACCAGTATTCCATTCGGGTGGGCATCGGAAAAGTCCTTCAGATAGCCGGACTCCTCGTGGACGATGTTGTTGCCGGTTTGGTACCTGGTGGTGGGACAATGTGAAAGTGGAACCGGATGTTTAGAGAATCGGTTTGATTATAGCTAGAAATGTAAGAAAACTTACTCCGTTTTGTAGCTACCGTCTTCGCCTTGTTCCTTGTTGTATTTGAGGATCGGAATCCAGGTTGTCGTTTCCTGGTTTCGTTTTTCAATGTTCTGCTGATGCTGCTGATGCTGTTGATGCTGTTGATGCTGCTGATGCTGTGCATGTTGTTGATGCTGTTGCTGTTGATCATAATCAATGTTGCGCTGAGGGAAGGCATAAGCCGAGGCCACCAGGGCTGCAAAAATCTAGGAAGAAGTATTTAAATTAGTTAGGTACAGTCAAGCAGGGTTGGGAAAAATCGATTAATTTGACATCTTCTATAAATCGGCCATTTTGGATCATTTACTTTTTTCACAATGGCGTCTTTGCCATTTTTCAATAAGTTTTAGCACGGAAATGTCACTTCTGATCGAAATGACGTCTAAGAGAAAGTTGTAGAGAAAAATATAGTCTTTCTGAGAAAAATATACATGCTATTTTTTGTAATTTCGAGTGAAAATTCCTAAACTAAGCAATAAACTCAAATATCTTACAAAAGTAATTTTCAATTCTTGTATCCTTTATTAAAAAAAAAAAAACTCTCGGAAAATGCAAACTTTTGGAATATTTAAAACCTTGGACCAAGGGGTGAGACAACTTTACTCTGAGTTTCTTTTTTGCAGAGAATAACTCGCGAGTAGCAAAATGTACATCAAAATGTAATTAGCCTTGATCGATTTTTCTGTCTGCTTCAGGGGGAACGACACTCATTTGGATGTATTTTTTCAGTCTAGTAATTACTAAAGAGCCTAAATTTATAAAGAGGCGACATGTCAAAATTGGAACAATCGATTGTCTGTCAAAGTCATAGTAAAAGTCATTCCAATCGAGCAGAAGACCTGTCAAATTGATAAGATGTCGTCTCTTTAAAAATTCAGGCTCTTTAGTAATTACTTGGGATTTTCGGGGAAAAACATAATTGATGGGATTTTTTTGAGTGTGTCGTGATGACGAAAATAGAGCAGGGATAGAAAAAAATAGATGGGAATAGATGGGAATGATGTGGCACTTGATGTGATGTGAGGGGTGTTAAAAAATTTCAGAGGGATACGAGTCTGAACGCGAAGAGGATAGGTGTAAAAAGAAGAAAAATTTGCTGCAATGAAGCGTCCATGAATTACGTAACGCTTATAGGGGGAGAGGGTGCCACCTATATCGTTACGAATTATAGATAGGCAAGGAGTAGTAAAGCTTAGCGTTACGTAACAAAGAGAACATTTTGTTTTTTTTTTTCGTTTCTTGATGTAAAGTCTTTTTTGACGTTTTTGGTTCAACAACGAAGGCTGTCATCACTAAATCTTGCTTTGCAAAATGGATCTGTTTTAATTTTATAAATTGAGATTTTTGCTATCCTTGAACTTTTGAAAAGCAGGTACTCGATGGTATGCTGATCTTTTGTTTTTGTTTTGAATATTAATAATATAATTAATTACCTTAACATAAACAATACAAAACGAAATCAAAAATTAATTAAATTAAAAGGCGGGGGGGGGGGGGTTAATAGAGCGTTACGTAATAAATAGAGAGGGTTCGGTTGGAAATGCTAACATGAAGCTTTAGTGTGATGATTTATTAGATAGAGAATGATCTTTAGAAGAGGGTAGGTGGATAGTTCCATTAGAGTACGGCAGTATGAAAATTTAATTATTAGTTGAAAATGAGCAAAGGGCCATTAATGCGACAGTTTTTCAAGATAGATGCACATTTTTGCCTAACCCGTACGATGTACGCGGGGACTTGAAGTATGTCTCCAAGTCCACAGGCAAAAATGTGCGTCCCTCTTATTGCTCATAAACTGACTGCGGCTGTGGAATAGTTCTAGCGGCGTTTTCATCACTACCTAAAGCCCCACGTTGCGAGAGCATTTCCAGTCGATGGTGCACAGTTCGAAAAAGTAGTGTAAATTTCTGTTCAATATGATGCACATAAATGGAGCGTCACATATCATATACGTTTACATTATATATTTATCATGTAAAGTTCTGACACATTTCATGCAATGTAGCAAATATTGTATACAAAAGTCCATCTTTGTAAACAAAATTGTTTACAAGTTGCTCGGTTGCGTGAAATGGAATACAAGTTTACGTGAATGAATGTTTACATCACAATTAAAATTCAGAATTTTTATCTGTGTGTGTTATAATGCAGTTCTTCTTTACCCAACTATTGTGTTGCTCCTCTCGTCATGACCAACGTGATCATCTCAGAGAGAAAGCAGTAGGGTGGTTGTTGCGTGCTGTACCATCATCAGCATTGTTGACGGCTACTCCCGCCTTGAGTTGTTACATTCAAAGTGTTTTTATGTTACTTCATAGTGCGAAGTTAACGATTTTCAGAGTTGGTTGGAAATGCTAACATGAAGCTTTAGTGTGATGATTTATTAGCTAGAGAATGATCTTTAGAAGAGGGTAGGTGGATAGTTCCGTTAGAGTACGGCAGTATGAAAATTGAATAGAATGTGCGTCTATCTTGAAAAACTGTCGCATTAATGGCCCTTCGCTCATTTTCAATTTCTATAAAGAGAGCGGTCGACCTGAAAACATCGAAAAACAGCACGGCTTGCTTGACAATTTGTGTGCATGTAGAAGGGATAAGTTGGGAATAGAAAGGTTAGATAGGATGGATTGAAATTTTGTGCACGTTGAAAATTATATGAGAGGTTTCGGTAAAAATGGGATAATCCTGAAGTGTCGTTCCCCCTGGTCTGCTTAATCCTCGGCTTACTCCGGCTTACCGCCTTCACTTATTAGGCGTCAGTCTTGTTTGTAAACAAAATAGAATTCTCGCGTCACTTTTCAATAGGTCCTAGCTACATTGATCGATTGTCTTCATCGCCATTATACACGGATAGAAATCCCGTTATACCTTTTGGCAAATTTCCATTGCTGATTATTCATAAAATGTATAAGTCAACTGATAAGCAGACGCCTTGCAAAATGTTAATGAAGATCATGTGTCAAATGAAATGTATAAATGGTCATACATACCTTTTATGCATTCTTATAGGACGTATGTAGTATGTCTTATGTAATGTATAAGGCTGATGTTTTGGCAAAAATGTATAAGTGAAACACATGAATAAATTAATTAATTTTCGTATCGTGTATTAGGATCGCCACGGTCGTGTTAATATTTTTCCGGATATTTTCAACACAAAGATCGAGGGAAGAGGCAACAATCTAGCGTTTAATACAACAAAGACGACATGAAACGTTTTTTGTAGCCGAGTTATTTATGACAGAGAGAGTCTATGAAGAGAATCGATCAATGTAGATTGGTCTATTTGAAATCGGAGTAGGCAGCCTAAATGACACGACGAGAGACCGATCAGTGGCTCGCCCGGCAAAGAAGTAGAAGTGACCGGTAATGCGGAATCATTTGCTCCTGCCGTAGGACAAGATCTAGCAAACGTCCGTTTCGGTTCGGAAAAGTGTTTATTTGAGTAAATCCGTGTAAGTTAAATCTGTTCAAAAGAGCACAACATGCCACCGGCATATTCTATAGTAGTGGAACAATGAATGGTGTGCCACTGTCGGTAAAGTGGCACTGTCAACCAGCTTGGTTGTAGTCGCTAAATAGGTGAGTGGAAGAGCGGGGACTCAATCGAGACGAAATCGAGCCTAATGATCGTGCAGTTGTCTTTTTTTTCGGTCGGGAGGGAATATTTTGTGGAAATTCTACGAAAATTCGAAGCTATTCCAGTAGACCAAAGTACCAGATGGTGGCTGGATTTTTGAATGTTTAGGGGAGATCGGTGAGTTAAGACGGAATAAAGGGATTCGAAAAGTTACGATAAATAGATCCGGTCATCCAGTCACTTTTCCATCAGTACGATCAAATCAAATTCAGCCTCCGCAACAGCCAAGAAAAACGAGTCGATTTTAGCTCTTAGCCGACGCACATTTTGACCATTCGAGGAGCACTCCCGGGAGCTGGAACCCGAAGGAAATTTAGGTATCGGAGGTTCAGAATCGTAATCATCACGCCTGGAGTTGCAGGCCGCAAGCCCTCGATTTATGTTGTTGTTTTGCTTGACAGCAGCTTTTCGGCTTCGCACCTCCATATGTTGCTGTGATGCGATAAGTGAGAAAGCAAATGACAGTGATCTTGCTCACTGAGCAATATGAGTTACTCGAGGTTCCTCAAAAGCAACTCTGAAATTACTCATGATTAGGAGCGGTCTTGCCCTATGCGGTGGACACTTGAAAATTGATATAAATCGTAGAACAACAACTTTTAGTTGAATTTTTGAACTTTTAACAAGAACGCTTTTTAATGTAATTTGCAAAAAAAATACATTAAAAAGCATGCCAACAAAAAATTTTAAATTCGAGGAGGGGGAGTCCTTAAAATACATAATCAACTACACAGCAAAACATTCTTAATTTTAATTGTGATGTAAACATTCATTCACGTAAACTTGTATTTCATTTCAACGCAAACGGCAACAGACTTTTGAATACAATAATTGCAACATTGCATGAAATGTGTCAGAACTTTACATGATTTATAATGTAAACTTATATGATATGTGACGCTCCATTTTGAGAGAAATCCTACTCAATTTTGAAATAGTCTACCGGCCGAATACGGTGACTAACGATGTGAAAACCATCACATCCCCAGACGAGCTGAAGCAAAGCGTGCAGGTAAGCTCTTTTATAACCTCGCAACCGGTCGTCTCTCTCTCTCTCTCTCTCTCTCTCTCTCTCTCTCTCTCTCTCTCTCTCTCTCTCTCTCTCTCTCTCTCTCTCTCTCTCTCTCTCTCTCTCTCTCTCTCTCTCTCTGTTCTCTCGATAGTCATAGCAAGCGAGCACGTGATTGGTTGATTGCGGCCTACAAGTTTGATCTATTTTCAATAATTTACTAATGATAAATTACTATAATCTTTATATCAAACAAATCTTACATCAGTTCTGAATCAATGGGATTGAAAAGAATTGAAATCCATCAATAAATGGCCAAGTTATAAGCGTTTAAAACCTAACACTATTTCGATGCACATTGTTTTGATTTGCACCCCAGTATAGTCCACAAGGCCGTATTGCTACGTCAAAACGTTTCAACTTGCTCCGGTGTACCTTAACTGATAGAATTTTGCTTTTGATTCTTCAGTGAAAGGGCCAATAATGCTTACCTTATTTGACAAATCTCAGGTAATCATAACAGCAACTGGTCTCATATCTTCATTCATTTTGTTTCCAGTACACAAATGTCATGTTACCTTGTATTTGTGAAATTATGTTAATATTACTGTTCCGTGCACCGAAGCATACTGGGGAAACAAATAAACTTTTTGAACCTAAAGTGATTCTAGAATCGTGCTAGTAGGCTGTGGAAATATTGTTCTAAACGTCTACCTCTCCTTTATCCTTTATCTAGATGTAAATAATTTTAATTTTAAGGAACCCTCTACATACTGAGACAACCAAAATAGAAGTATATTCCAAGATGGTACAACGTACGAAAAATTCAAATCTTTCGGTGATATAAAACGCACACGTTATTATCGCTATATTTGGCGTAAACTTACTCGATATTTCATGTCAAATATCGCATAAATCAGTAATGTTGCAAACAAGCTTGTAAACAATTTCGTTGTTCATACGAACTATAGCTCAAAATTAATCGAGAGGAGATTTTACGCGAGAGTTAACATTCAGAAGTGTTTTCCGTGTACAAATAAACAAATAGTAAAGAATGCAAAAAATTGCTTATACGTACACAACTGGAAGCCTTATATGAATTTTATTTTATTTTCGGAGAGTTGATTTGACATCATAGGGGAAATAGAGCAAATGTTGGCCTATACATCTGAGATTGGGCTCATCGCTAAAAATCTGTTATTTATCAATTTTATCTCGATGAACGCGTCATTGTCGGTACTAATGGATATTTTGGTAACTATTGAAAATTTAGTCGATTGCTGAATTTGTGTAAGGGCCCAAATTATACGATTTAATCTGTAATATAAAAAAATCAACTTGAAAAGTCTACGATGCAATCAAATTTAATTTGTGATATGAGTTCTGGTTGTACATTTATGTGGAGTTCTTGGAGGCTAAAAACCTTATCGTTTACACTTGTCAGATCCCTAAATTATAAGAAAATGTGTTGAGTTGTATTTTGAAAATGACCAGTCGTAACGAATTTTGTTTCACATGTTTGAAATGTGCATATTCAATTGCAAGGGATTAGTTTTCTGAATTTGTACACATGGAACAAAAAATAACATAAAAACTGATGAAAATCTTACGTATACTTTCTTCTACGATATAAATATAGTTTTAAGTTGGTGCATTGATCATTAAGCATTACAAACATAAAAAGTATTTGGCATGGCATAAATTTAAAATTCACCTAGTTCATGATATATAAATATGAGAACGAAAAATGAGATTGATAATATCGTAAAAATTACGTGCTATTACGGGTACTGGTTCGATTTTGGCACCGTATTAAAATCGAACGGATTTTGAAAATAATGTAGTTTTGCTCCGTGTGATCACAATTTTTAATAAAATTTTCATTATTAATAACGTATATGTTATAAAGATGACTCATGTTGGTCCAAAATCAACGATATCATAAATTAAATTTTAAATTAAAACCGCTCGATTTTGGCAGAACAAAATTTTCGGACTTGTTGCCAAAATTGTACTTCAACCATATTGTTAAACAATGTTGCTATGTTGCTTAAAAATAAAGCATCATACTTACGGAAGAAAGCATAAAGATAAGTAGACAAACAAAAAACTTGTGACTAAAGTGTGTGTCCATTTTATAACATGAACAGTCCTTATCCAAGGTTGCAAAGACTCATTTCAGCTAAAACAATGTTTTTCTAAATTATGAAATAATTAGATGCCATGATCAAATTTTGAATTGGTAGGATACAAGAAGAGGTTGCAAAGAATGTGTTTGACATATTAAACCTGTTTATTTCACTTCATGAGAGTAACAATCAGCGATTTTTCACAAACTCACTCACTCACTCAGCGATCAGCAAATCGCTGATTGTGACTCATAGAAAGCAAAATTTACAGGTTTTATGTTTCCAACGCATACTTTGTAACCTCTTCTTGTAAGTTACAAGTAAAACATGCCATCATACCATCTTTTGGTTTTATTATTCCGAAAAACATTATTTTAGCTGAAATGAGTCTTTGCAACCTTGTCCTTATCATAATTAAAAGATGTTGAAATTACATGACCAAAAGAGCTTAGTGAAGCAAGCATTGTTGATACGTAGATTTTCACGATGTTATGTGATTTACACGAGTATTCCTATCTTAGCAGTTCCAACAAGAGCTTGGATCTTAGCAGCTCCAACACATTTGATTGATAATGCTATACCTACTATACTTTGCTACTAATTCAGAGCGGCTGCATTTGTTACCAAAAGTTATGACTAGATCTATTGCTGAGCCATCCAACCCCCCTCCACCTGCCCAAATCTTAGAAGTGCACATCGTTCAGTGTGAATGCTGATGTTTCGCAACTCAACTAATTTGCATTGAATCTTCATTCTTTTCTCGCACTGCTGCACTTATTGAAATTAAATGCTAATTTGACAGCATCCATTCACTTCCACACGCTTGCCTTGCCTGTATCAGATGATCGAGCCTTCCAGTTTCATTCAATCCTTTCGATTTCGAAGCATCGAAATCGAAAGTGAACTTCACCGCTCTCAGCTGGCACCTTCCTACATACGTTATGCCCTATTTGCGAGGCACACAATCTAACGGCTCCGTTCTTCGCTCGGAAACTCGAAACTACACATCTCCATCTGCTGTGCAGCCAGTTGTAAAGGTAAAACCAGTACCGGCGCGTGCTCGTATTACCACTCCCTACTAGGTGTCCCCATCTCCCGCGCCAACTACCCCCTGCGCTGCTCCCACGACTTCGACTAGACATTTGATATTTCACAGACCAGCTCATCTAGAAGTCATCCAATGATGGTTAGGTAATCCCGGTCGAAGCTCATATTGCTAAATCACGAACTACGAGGTTCCTTGGAAAGCCAAGCCCGAAGAACACAGCAGCAACAGCAGCAGCAGCAACAAAAACTTCACAAGGGCTTGACACCTTTTATGTCGAGTCGAGTCTGTTGTAGATGATATATTGCGGCAGATTGCAGCCACGCCATCCAAGGCGCACAGCTCCGCTTTTGTTCACGATCGCGTTTCCAGGTCACGCTCGGCAAAAGTTCATTCACTCTGTTGTTACAGCGATTTCCAGAAGGGTTGCGCTCTTACATAACTCACGCTTTTACACACTTACCAGAAACTTCATTTTTCGTAATCACGCACTTTACACTTTTCCGTTAACTTTAAATGTCACCACCTACACGAACTTCTATTTAAAAAAAAAATCAATAGTAACAATTGTGCTCTAGGGAAGAAAGTAAGATCAAGACTGCGACCGGAGATCCCCAATGATGGGTCTTTATATACCGACCGTCTAAATCTGATGTAGTTTTTGTTTTTGTGTTTCACCTCCTTTGGCTCAAGCAAACCAGTCGGCATCGTCGTCGGCTGGTGCAGTTGGCCGTTCGTTGGTGGTAAATACTACACGCCAGAAAGAGCATCCTTTCCCTCCCTCCCTTTTGTCGGTGGCTGTTTTTTTTTTCTGTATATGCGCTTATGGGGCTCAACATGAGGAGCACTATTTCCCGGCACTCATACACATTTGACTCTTCAGCTCGAGCCGGTTCGATGATCATCATCTGCAGATGGTTTAATCTGCGGAGATGCTGTTTTACTCGGCTGCTTATGATTCGTACGCCGCCCTCCATTGTTGGACTCGTTTTTGTTTTTGGTCAACGTAAATCAGCTGTGACTGTTTAGTATGCTCGAGCGGTACGCTGATTGACGGTTATTTGAGACAATTTATGCAGCACCATGAAGTGGTTTTCTCAGCAGAAAATTAAAACTCTTTGTAAAAAATCACAAACCCACATAAAGTTACATTTCATTCGAGGTTAATGTAAATCAAATCTTAACACTCAAGTTTATTAATAACAATTTTATTATTTAACCATTAGAGAAATAGAGACATCAAGGGGGTGGGACAAGGTCTGTTGATGATGTTCAAGTAGCGCCTTTTTTTTTTGAAAGCATCCACGCAAAACTCACTGTTTTTACAGGGGAATTAAACTGTATTCCTATTTTTCAAGGGACTTACGAGAAGAAAATAGTGTGAGCGTCTTTAAAAGAAAATGAATGTCATTTGTGAAAGATGGTTCCGGGTCGTTTGGCCGAATGACGTTTGACCGAATGTCAATTCACCGAACGCCGTTTGGCCGAATGCCGAACAACAAAACTCCAAAGAACTACACATGTTTGAAAAAAGAAAAAATCTCCTATTTTTACTAAATTCAGATTTGTCTTAATTTTATGACAAGCTGCGTTTACTGTGCAAAAAATAACTAGAACAACAAAACTCCAAAGAACTGCTTATGTTTGAAAGAAGGAAAAATCTCCTAAAATTGTTAAAATAATGTTTAATTAAATTTTTTAACAAGCTGCGTTTACTGTGCAAAAAAATAATAAGATCATCAAAACTCCAAAGAACTGCTCATTTAAAAAAGGGTGGCTAAAAAAATACTAATTACATATCTTAAATAGCATCTCTATAAGAATAATGAATTCATTGACAGTATAAAATTTCAGTTTTATGCAATCTATAATTTAACCAAAAATCCCATATTTATAATTTCAAAAAAGCATTATTGTGGAAAGTAAAAAAGTTCACAGGGCTGCCATCTAGGTTCAAGTAGTGTTCAAAACTTGGAAATCTCTTTTCAAGGCAATTCGGCCAAATGGCCGGACACCGTGAAAGATAATATTATGTTGTGAACCGTTCATGTAAATGAGCAATTTTTTCGGCGCTGATGATGAAACCAAATAGAAAAAAAAACGTATCTGGGCCACATATGACATAGTACTACAAAATCAACACGATTTGCGGTGCGGTAAAACCCTGTACACTCAGGTCTTTTTTTACACGGGGGATACGGTCCGTGTAAAAAAAAACCGTGTAAAAAAAAACGTACGAGATTTTGATTTTTCGCATGCTTAAATGTTTTTAAAAAATCGGATTTTGATGCCATTTGTAATTAAAGCATGATATGGTCCATATAGACATATTTTAAAAATTTCTGTATTTACACCAAAAATTGTGATTTTTTTTTTTTAAGTATGCCATTCGATTACAAATAGCTTGAAACGGATAATGTGATTGGAATCAAGTCGATAGGTTGTATCGTTGTCGAGAAATTGTTAAAAACGTACCGTGTAAATCGTGGAAAACCGTGTAAAAAAAACCGTGTAAAAAAAACCGCGTAAAAAAAACCGTGTAAAAAAAGACTTCAGTGTACTCAAAAAAAAAAAAGGGTAGACTGAAACCTCCGTTTACGAAGTTTTTTATTACGCAGTATTCAATTTACGTCCCTCTTTTTACGAAGTAAATCCCAAATAATGAGTTTTCTTTTTACGAACTAAATTCCAAATAACGAGTTTTTTTTTAAATCCAAGATGGTGGCTTCCGGTTACAAAAAACAAAAAAAAACTTGGAAATTCTGTGAAAAACTCCACAATATGGGTATTTTTGAAATCGGAGTGACATGTAGAAACCAGAAATCCATGCCTGACGCCATTTTGAAATCCAAGATGGCGGTATCCGGTTCATGAAAAACTGAAAAATACTATCAATACCCCACAATATGGGTATTTTTGGAATCAGGGTGAAATATAAGTACCTGGTTCAGAAAAACTAAAAAATAATGTCAAATACCCCACAATATGGGTAATTATGGAATCAAGGAGACGTGTACGAACTGAAAATCTATGTTTGACACCATTTTGAAACCCAAGATGGTGGCATCCGGTTCATGAAAAACTGGAACATACTTTCAATACCCCACAATATAGGTTTTTTTTAATCGGAGTGACGCGTAGGGACCGAAAATCGATGTTTGACGCCATTTTGAAATCCAATATGGTGGCTTCCGTTTACAAAAAAACTTGGAAATTCTGTGAAAAACTCCACAATATGGGTATTTTTGAAATCGGAGAGACATGTAGGAACCGGAAATTCATGCCTGACGCCATTTTGAAATTCAAGATGGTGGTATCCGGTTCATGAATAACTGGAAAACACTTTCAATACCCCACAATATGGGTATTTTTGGAATCAGGGTGACGTGTAGAAACTGTAAATCCATGCCTGACGCCATTTTGAAATCCAAGATGGTGGTATCCGGTTCATGAAAAACTGGAAAATACTTTCAATACCCCACAATATGGGTATTTTTGGAATCAGGGTGACGTGTAGGAACTGTAAATCCATGCCTGACGCCATTTTGAAATCCAAGATGGTGGCATCCAGTGCATAAAAAACTAGAAAATACTGTCTAATCATTGTAATTATTTGTAATGCTAATTTGAGAATAAGGACCCATCTAGACCACACACGTGAGGCCGAGTCGAGTTTCGAACGCCTTTGGATACGGTTGTGTTCAAAGTTTGCTCTATGTTTTGTGCGTGCATCTCTTTCATAGTTTTCGGCTGCATTTGCCGGACGGTTATACGTGTGTGAGTGGTGGATTTCTCGCTTTCCGAGAAGTTTTAGAATCAAGAAAGAAAACATGATTCATCATGTTTGCAAAAATGCAAGCATCAGAAGATTTGGCGCTGCGTGGTTTGATTGTTTCTCCCGGACCAAAAATTTGTGGCATCGCGAGTGAAAATTTTAATTTCTGTTTATTTACGCGGTGATGAGAACGGCGCTGATCTATTGTTAGGGTTTTGCCTTTTGGTTGTTGTGTGGTTGGAGTCGAGAGAAAAATATGCGTGGAAGCATCGGGAATGCGCTCCCGGGTGAAGTGATTTGGTGAGTACGTTCCAGTTGAAGATTGTTGACAAGTGTATTTGTGGTGATGCAAATTATGGTTTAGATGACGCATGGCTTCAACCAGTTTGTGTATGCAAATAAACAAATTACATACTAAATACGCACAGGGCATCGTCTGCTGACCATTGCCGCGGGTATATCGTGGGAGTCCCAGGTACCCGGTTCAAGCTTTAGTTGGCGGCGGTGGCTCTTCTTGACCTTCTACCCCCTGAGTAGTTAGTGTGAATAAGGGCGTCTATGTGATGTTTTGCTGTACCTGTTGTGGACATCTAGTGCATCCTGTTCCCTTAACTTGTTGAGGACACCCTGTCTTGTCTCAAAAGTTACCCTTTTTGAAGTACTAGCAACAATCAATACGAAACTAATGATTTTAAATTGGCTCACCACTTTAGTAGCCTATTGGTCCCAAGCAAACGATTAACGTACCCTATTCTAGTTGAAATTCTATTACTACACTATGTTTGTTTTGACTCGCTATGAAAGTTTGGCAGATAACATCAGGGTTGTGTGGATTCATGCAGAACATGCAGAGGTGAGTGAAATAGCTTGGGACTGCTTGGGACCGTTGTTCTGGTACTGAGTGAGCCAAAAATAATAATGATTTTCTTCGGGACCCAGTGGTCTTAGAGTTACCTCTATGGTACTAGTCTTCACAACATAAAGGGCAGCATTACGGAGCATGAGATTTGATCAAATTATTCGCAGTTCTACTTGTCCAACGCCCCCGGCTGGGTGAGGGATAGAGGATGACACACACACACACACACACACACACATCTAGACCACACACGTGAGGCCAATACACACTCAAAAAAAACTCATACTTTATTCGATTAGGGGCTTTTTACGCAATGCCTTGTAAAAGTAATTTATCTGGTAATAAAATTTAATCGTAATCAGAAACATGAAACAATACATAGGTAGTGTATAAGTTTGCTTTAAGTCCTTGTCGATATTTTGATTCTATTTTGCAAGCAGAAACAAACTATTTTCATCCAATCGTCGGTAAGTAAGTGAAAAAAACATTTATGGTACTGTTCATTAACTACGTAGATAGTTTTTTGGGATTCTTGACCCCCCCTTCCCTTCCACTGCGTATACAATTGTACATACAAAAAATTTAAAATTTGCATGGATATCTGCCACCCCCCAAACCAAAAATTTATTACATTCAATGTTACTTGCATTTCCTATCATCCTCTGCAGCGAATACCGCAGCAAATGATATAAGTTTACCTTGTTGTGTCTACGTTTTCAACTATACCAGCAAGCATTTTATTAATAACATCTATTTTTTCGACATGATTCGTTTTACTCACTAATAAACTCCACATTTTTCTTCTCCAATTTTTTCAAGGGGGGGAGGTGGCTGTCAAATACGAACAATCGTCGCCTACCTCGCATGCCTCGCATAACTGGTTCCAAACGTAAACAAGCCATAAGAAACCTACAGCGATTGTTTACGTTTGGAGCCAGTTTCATACAAGAATGATCAGTAGGCTGATTTGACAGCACATCCC